GAATGAATGAATGGACGAATGCTTCGCACCACTCCCCATCATTCACTCCGTAGATATGCTGCCATTTTTTTATGCAATTGTGTATATTATGTCAGACAAATTTCTTCAAACACCCTGTATAAAACATAAATGACTGTTCAACATACACGCTAAGCCAAAAGAGAGTTACGGCGTATAGGGACTTCTCCTTTGAGGAAGCGTTTGAATTGCCACTCCAATAAGTCACCATAAAAGGAGTAACTGCATGGCACACAGCCGCTTTCCTTTGAGTTCCTTCTTGGTGGGATCAATAGTTACTCCCCCTAGGGGCACCTACCCACCAACTGCTGTCTGAAGACCACCGGTTAGATTTATTCATTACTCTCGCATTTTCTAAGTGACTCTTCAACGAGCAACTTCATGCTTCTATGGAGCTACTCCTTGTCGAAAGGATTATTTACCTCGAGTATTCTTGTCAGACGCTGAACACAACCACAACTGCTCTGCCAAGCACTGCTTGAGTGCTCCTAACAAAAAAAGAGGACAAAAAATATAAGAAAAGAAATACTTTCCCATTTTTCTTTTTAGGTAACATGTGTGCACACGCAGAAGTAAACCTCGGCACACCAGATGGTAACCGAGTGACATATTATATCAAAGAGGTTTGCCGCCTTCAAAGCAAAAACAATATCAAATTCTCAGCAAAGAGAATTTTTGTAACCATAATAGTGACGAGGTTCACTTCTACAGTTGTGAAGGGCTTGAGTTCTGAATCATATCTGAAGCATCTCGTTGCTGCAAGAAGAAACAAAATTCTGAGGTCTTACATGCCAGAACCAATACGTGAGAGCACACGCCATAGCAGCGTTCATATTCTTGGAAGTCTACTATAAAATTATTTGTGAAAAGAAACGAAGGGTCCGGTCAAAGGTCACTTCGCAAGCCAAATCAAAGTCGATGTTAGAGACGCTCTTCACATGGTGTCTGTTGCCAAGAAAGCAGGACACATGCCGAAAGTCTGCGTCATCTGCGTCAGCAGTTGAAGCTACTCATAGGTTAGGTCCACCTGTTTTTAACACAGCTGAGGGACATTTCTACAATTCTATTCGCTAATATTCTTTCTAAGCGTGATATACGGATGACGAATAACACGCAGAGCTTGCTATTGTCACAGCACATATTTAGCTCGTGCACATAGTAACTGTAGAATGTACTTTTCTGTAATACGCTGCTACTTCACACGGTTCTGCGTCTCGCAGAGCTTTAAAACGGAGTTTTTCAGGGAGAGACAGATAAACCAATAAAACATGTTGAGAAAACAGGCTACCGGGGAGTCATAAAATGCCGTTACGAAGGCCTCCACACGGAGAGCTTTTTGAATCTAGAGGACCAAGGGTTATGACTTGTCCTAGCCAAAACCAATGTGAATAGGGAAAACATACTCTGAATAGCAACAACGTAAACAAACCTTTGTACTTCTTTTTTAGTACCCACAGCAATCACTGCAAATAACACACCGGGAGATTTTGTCTCAACCATAACAGCCTAAGCAAAGAAATGGGCCAGCATAGTCATGCCACATTGCCAGCGTGATCACATGTGATGATAGATCGATTCCTGGTGCATGCACGCGCAGTTTGCCCCAAAAAGTAATTATTTCGCATACGCAAAGACGTGCAAAACATCTGCAGTTACCAAAATTTACTTGTCTTCCGTGTGTTTGCATAATTATGGAAATCATTATCTGCGGTATGCCTAAATGTGTAAATTTGTAGAACTGAAAAAAAATAATCAAGTACATGTACCAAAGATAGCTTTATTTACTTCAGCAAAGTCTGGTTAGGAACAGGCAAGTAGGAATAAGCTTAATTATGTGCAAGCGTTTGAGCACAAAAGGCGTTATTGAGGTTACAAAACGACAGGACGTGTCTGTCGATTAGTATTTATGTGAAAATGCGACTTACATAGCTTGCTAAAGTTCCACAGCGCACACAGATTCCTTGATGCGGGATTATGAACACACTCACATGAAACTACAGCCTTTATGCGCGTCTGTCATAATCAATTTTGTGAAGCTTTTGTATCACTAAATCAATAGGAAAGATTTACTTTTTAGTGTTCTCTCCATTATGAAAGTTCTTGTTTGAAGGTGTTCTAAGAAAATAATACATGAAGCGTCGAAGTGAAGCAGTGGCAGGTGAAGTAAGTGACACACGGATGTAGAAATGCTTTTTGGGTGTGTATGGAGGGGGGGGGGGCTAATATGAAGTGGAGGCTGGGCATGCAAATGTGCAAGTGCGATATTTGACTCTGTATGTCACACCTCAACAAAACTTAAAATAAGGAAGAAGAGGGGGCGAGGGCACGGGCCGTAGGTTTTAGCCCTGGCACCGTCACTGTAGTGATGCGACAAGCATTTGTTGACAATTATTTGTTATTCGTTTCCTTCACGGTAATAAGTCATTTTTCGACGCATTTCCCTCACGAAAGTACCATCGCATATGCGTATGGTCATATCATCACGGATAATTCTGCCACATGGAGTGTGACCTGTCGGTCCATGAGAGCAGCAGCCCAATATGCTACCCACGGCTTCTCGGTCCCGTACTCTGGAGGCTGTACAATGGTGTATTTTACATCTCACACTTTCCCCTTGCAGTGCGCTCAGTTGATGAAGAAGCAATGAATCAAGGCCGTGGCCACAAGGATTAGGTTCTGCCATGCATCATTGAAGCGCGTTCATTGAATTAAGCATTTTTCTAAAAGAAAATGAAATCTTTATAAACGACTTAGCACACAGCTTGGTGGCAACTTTAGCCCAAGCGTCGGCCTCGGTATAGTGTCCATCTACACACAAAAAAAATTCAGCCCATCTACGGAGGCGAAGCGTGCGTCAACCCACCCGTGCATCCGACTGTCCGTGCTTCTGTCTAATTGTTCGTTCTTGCTTCAATCCGTTCGTGCCACCATCCGTCCGTCTGTGCAAGCGTCCGTCTGTCTGTGTCTGTGCGTCTGTCCATGCATGCGTACGTACGTCCGCTCGTGCGCCTGCGTGTCTGTTCGTCCGTGCGTCCGTGTGTCTGTCTGTGTGTCCATCTGTCCATCCGTGCATCCATGCTTCTGTATATCTGTCAGTTCCTCCGTCCGCGCGTCCTTAATCTATCCATCCATCCGTCTGTGCTATCGTCCGTGCGTCCAGCGTCTGCCTGTCTGTCAGTCTTTCGGTCCAGCCATCCATCCATCCAAACGTTCGTCCGTCTGTCCGGCTGCCTGTCTCTCTGTCTGTCTGCACGTCTGTCTATCCGTCCGCGCATCTAGTGAACACTCCAAGCACCGCCATCTCACACATTATCACCTTATATTCATCATATACAAGTACCGCCAACCACTGGGCATTCCAATGTATAAATGAGACGTGGCTACCTACTACTCCTACTGCTACTACTACTACTACTACTACTACTGCTACTACTACTACTACTAACTACTGCCACTACTACTACATACAGCGCGGACGCATGACCCACGTTATAAGAAGCTTCGCCTCTAAAATAGCTCTGCGACACAAGCTTGCCTCTCCTCCCTGACGCTCTGTGTTCTTCGTTTATGGTTTCCCTGAGAAAAATTGAGTCCGGAAACAGGGGATACACAACGCGCATTGCAGATCCTTGTAGTCCTGCCTTGGTGTTCAACTCATTTACCACGCCACGGAATCCCGACTTTTATTGCTCTTTGTGTGCACTACCCTAGTTGCCCTATCAGTCGGCAACGCTTTTCTGGCTGTCAAACCGCTTTTTGGCTGTCCAACGTTTTATTAATACAGATACCATCGGGATTTTTTGAATCAATCACGAAGGACGTTAGTCGTCAAGGTGAGCCTGTACCACTTACAGTCAACGTGGGTGTATAGAAGTTAGAGCACCATTTGGCATTGTATTAGCTTTTCTATATCATTGTAAACTGAACATTCGAATATTTCTGTAACAACTCGTTTTACTATCCTGTTTTACGGATCGCTATGATGGAGGAATCAACCATATTTTTTTTTTTACTGGCAGAGCTGCTGGAGGAAAACAATGGTGCCTTAGTTGTCCGCCACCACTGTCACTACAGCCTTCAGTGGCCGTAACCACTATTCCGCCAAATACTAAAACATTTTCTCGCATGGAGCATAGTTAGAACCTTGGTCAGCTCCACGGCAATGAAGTGTTCTACATAATCACCGAGACATGCTGGTGATTCTAATTCCTGCACACAAAAAACCTATACAAGCGTTGTTTCGGGGAAAAAGCGCTTCCTCGTACGTAATATGTCGTGTCGTTGTAAAATATTAAAACAAGAACCAGGCGTCACAGAACGTGAACTGTGTAGCCAGGTATCACACAATATGAACTGCATTATGAGATCAACCTATTGCAAAGACATCAGCCATAACTATTCATCGTCACCAGCGACCACATGAATTATTGAAGTAGTGTTTGTACTTTGCTATACCGTACCCGTATGTAGACTCACGAGAGTTTGCAACTGCTTCTAGAAATGGCGCTCTTCCTGCTTTCACTGCGACTGTGGTGCGCTTTGCGTGTAAGCATGGTGTTTCTGCATAAGAGTGTGAAATGATCTTTTTTGGTGATGTATAACCATTCACCAGTCACAAAACGTCGACGCGGGAAAACAGAAAGGGCAAAGATGATCTTTCTTCTTCGTCCTTTTGTTCGTCCTGCATCAAAGTTTTGCGATACATGTACAGCTATAATAACTCGGCAGTACAAATTCGTTTAAGCTATAGTGTGTGTAGAAGATTGCTACCTCTACGTGCGCAACATAAAATTTTCCTTAGATAGGACGTACAGGAGGAAATTCAAATATACTAGTGTTTTTTTAACCATGAGTTGGTACTTTTACTGTACGCGTGTCTGCCTCCTGTCGATTGTCGTCTTCATTTGATAGAGCGGGTACCAAATGCTTCAATCATCTGGACCTGTTGCAACAACCTAATCACTGTGTATATTGAACGTGTATTTTGGTATTGCTCAATTTGCCTCATCTTTTTATTTGCATGAATCACAAAACGTTTACACAATGCTGCCTGCAGACAACGATAATGTGGTTAAACATGAAAACAACGTCGGCTACAAAGGCCACACATGAAAAGCACAAAAAGCCGTCAATGGATGTTCACTCATTCTTCAAAAGAGCAGCCTAGGCCTCAAACACGGATCAAGGTTCAAAGACTCAACAAACACATTGAAGTAAGTGTGGGAGTGATATGATTCATGCTAGAATACCACCTTGTGAACAGAGATAACAGGTGCAAAAACAATTGAAAAAGTTAGTTATATTCACCGAAGATCGCTGGGCCGAGAAAACCTCTGCATTTACCCTCACTAGGAATAATCGAGGCTCAAAAAATTTTACTACATTTTGTGTGGTTCATACAAGATGACAGTAATTAGGATTTCAGGTTAATGATTGGGAAACCAATGAAATATCACAAGATACACAGTGCACTTCATCGTGAGCTCCTTGACTCCTCGAACGAGTAATCATGGATGCGTATCACATGAAAACACTTCATATAATATGATGTCTTTAGTAGATGAATATTTCGCTAATAATGCCGTTTAGAGTGAATGGCTCAGAAGAAAATGTACTAAATTGGGGTGCGTCAACATTCTAAAGTTTCGAATGATAGCTTTATACTCGGTCCATTACTGCAATCAAAAAGGGCATACTCTAAATACCGAGTGTTTTTGAATGCCTTTTAAATATTTATCATCGACGAAAAATGTTCGATGAATTTAAACGTAGGAACAATGATAGGTAACTTGTCTTCTCATCATCCGATTTCCATGACGCACGCAGTTCATGTGCTTACGGCATATTGACGCCATATAAAGTACAAGAAGCACGCGATTTGTTTATAACTACATTGTCACTGACGCAACAGTCAGAAGTAAACTATCTTCATAATGAAATTTATAACGTTGTTAAATCATAAAATTTTCTTTATATACATGCATATCAGAAAACTGTTGACAAGGTAAAACCTTAAATGTGGTGGTCACTCCTCTACATCAGCCTGCAGTAGCGAAATATTTCAAACGTTCTAGTTGTTGCTCAGGTGAATTAATTGTAGTACTTTAGTTAGTTAAAGTAGTCGCTATGTTTCTTTGGTGAAGTTTGTCAACATTTGTTTCAGATGAAGTGTTCTTAAAATTTTGGGCTGTTTTGAAAATTGTCACCATAAGAGTTTAGACCTGCTCTGAAAATTTTCGCCTCACTGTTCGAAGCCTATTCGACTAGTATTCGATTCGTATGGGTATTCAGTTAAGTTCAAAAGTTCATTATACATGATCCCGTAATACTGATTGTAAATTGAACCAAGAATACTGTTTATTTTAGGAACAAAACAAAGTATGAATCGCAGAGAAATTCGTGAGACATCCGTTTGTCGACAGTACAACAAACAATAAAGCTGGATCATTATGAAAGTTATAAATGCTGTTCTAAATGCTTAATAACTTTTTAAATGCTCCCAAGTTCATGTATTACGTGTCATACTTGAGTCGCCGCTCAGGAATGCCGAAAATCTATATGATTTAAGCAACACTAATAAATTATTTGTGTACGCTCATGTTCAAATGCTCTGTGAATAATAACAGTAGCACCAGGCCAGTTACATCAACACTGCTCATTTTTTTCTATCACGGTAGTAAATATGTATCAAAATACATTTCATTCCTTTCTTGTGTTATTCTAAGGACACCTAAAGCATCGCCCGTTGGAAAACACCTGTAACGATTGCTGCACATTTGCCTTCCTTCGTATTACTTGCTTCCCTCGTCAAAGAAGGCAGGTGCATGGCGCAAAGATCCGTGTCTATCACCTTCATCTATAGCATCACAGTCTGCAATCGCTTGTTAAAATAAATTCACGTGGACACGCTGCCTTTGCACGCATTGTGGACAAGCCACTTATGGAAGCTCAGTCTGTTTCGTTAGATCTAAAATATTTTCTGTCTTTGAATATTAAGGCCTTTGTTTCTGTTGATTATATCACACTGGCTTATAGTATACGAAGCGCAGGCACCCGACACTGCAGTGCAGCTGTCATAGTTAGGTGGCTTCTTGCAATCTGTTCATGTGCAGCCGTCTGTGTTAATGACCTTCGCAAGTGTCCTGGTACGCAATCTACGTTTCACTGAAAAGTCTTAAACGACGAGCTGCAAGTGACGAGTACAACACAGAGGTAAGAGGGCATGAGAAATGCATGACACAAAGCTGATCACGTGCAATACTCGTTATGAAAGACTTAAGCAAAAGCTTGGCCTAGAATAAGAACGAATTTGTTGAGATAACAGTGCACTACACAAAATAATTCAATGCACACTTTTGCCTTGACCTTTGGCATTACAAACAAGTATCCTAGACGAAATCTGTGCATTCTACTAGCATTCACAAGCAACATGGTATTTCAGCATCATTGCCAAAACAGGTACTCTTCTGCTAATATAGCCTTTATGCTCACTTCCGTTCAATGTAGTGCCGATCATTCGCTTTTCGTTAGCTTTTCCAACTACTGACCATTCAGTAATAAAGTAGTCACCCAGTGCCCAGAAGGCTGAATATTCTGCACGCTAATGACATCTGCATACAGTTTTTTAACCATTGTGGGCAAAAAGGATTAAAATGCCTTGGTTGGGAAGGGGAAAATATTTGGCGTAATAGCCAAAATGGGCCCTTCAGTTCATCATGCCTTCTAATATTTCCAATCAAATTCAAGTGTGCCATGTTTTGTTGCGTGAACCATTGCACACCACTTAATCATAAAACGTTCCGACCACTGGGACTAGGCTATAGGCTCTTTTATCATAGCCACAAGGGAAGTAGGCGTGGACTACACGAAGATACGAGACAAGCAAAGTTCAGACGTGCTTATGAGTAAGCGAGACGTGGTTACGGAAGGTTTTGTTCCATATTGATCCCTGGATTGCAGTTTCCTCGTGATTATTTCATTCTATCATATCTTCATGACAGTAAAGCACTGTTCAGTCGTCGCTGCGTTTATTTTCAAAGAAATTGGGTGGACATATGCTAATCCACCCACGTTGTTATTTTCGTTTTGTTTACATAGACTGAAAACATGTGTAGTTTTCTAAGTCTGCGAAGGTTTTAGTGTGGTTACAGACACCAGAAAAGCACTGGACATAGTCACATAATGCGTATATGAACATTCTGCGATTTACGCTTTCTGATTGATTCGCAGTCACACTTTTTATGGATAGCCACAGTGCAGCTGTCACCTACCTAGTCCATACTTCGAGCGCTCAGCTGCTGCAAATTTTCTGTGCCCTTGTCACATTGTTTAATGCCCACAAGAGCTGGTCACTACATTTCATTGATAAATAGGGTTGACGAGGCCACTGATGTGACTGTGACATTGTTCCATGCCAAATAAGCGCGCCGGTTGATATCAATTCCACCAGAATCTCTCCCAAATCGTCTTCTTTTTTTTGGACAAAGAGTATTTAGCATTTCATTATACACATCGCTGGAGAGGTTGATTGAAATTTCTTTTGTAGTTGATTTCTTCTTCCAGAATCACGTTACAGTATTCCCAGTCAGACAATATTTCAAACCTAAATAAATATCACCGCTTCAAGCAACGCTGCTCAGAAGCCCACCAGTTGCTTCGTTCATGGGCATCCACAGAGTCGCCATTCAAGACGCTCATCACTTGTACTCCCATTGTCCTTCCTCACAAGATAGAACAAGCCGCGCCACTGCCACCGCTCACACTCGAAGCAAGCTGACTCCCGACACCAGCCCGATTCGGCGATGAGGATGCCCAGCAGCCTGACTTGTCGCCCCTAGTCTCAACCGACGAGATGTCAACAAGCCTTCGCTGCTGCTGGTTGTAGTTATTATGACAGTGCGTGCAATGCTGACAGGGTGGCTGAAGTCCGATGCTGGTCAAGATTGGTGGCGGTGGTACGGTGACAACTGCAGGAGCCAGTGGCTGCGTGGGAACCTTTAGTTCAAGTTCTGTCCAGGCACACTTGCGTGGTGTGGGCCGGCCGTTCGTCTCCCGGGGTAAGGCGTTCAGTGGCGTCGTCGTGGGAGCGACGCTCACCGTACGACGCTTCGGTGATGTAGAGCCGCCGTTCGGAATGTCTGTGTTCCCCGTGACGTCCTTTATGACAGCAGTTCCCAGCGCGTTGCCCGTCGTTTGTGTCGTGGGAGCCACGCCAGCTGTGGGTTTCGTGGTGGTCACGTTGGCCACTCCGTGAGGTGGAGGTGTGTTGGACGGCGAGTGTTTGGCTATCTCTTCGTACGTGACCGGCGAGTACACTGAACGGGCTCCCACGGAAGACTTGCGGCGCTGCTTCGACAGGGCACTCGGAGCATCCGGGTACCGCCTGTGGATGTTGACCTGGCCTTTTTTTCCCTGGAGCCAGTAGGTTTTCATGGAGCCTTTGCCCTGTTAACACATGCACAGAAGCAATAACATGAAAAGGAGGTTTTGAAGGTGGCACCACCTTCAAAACTTTCAGGACTGAAAACAAAAATATCACAAAACATTAATAAAATAGAAACTCTTCGTGAAAATTTAGCGCGTGTATTTCGGTAAGCCTTAAGTGGAATAAACTGAGCACTTTCTAATTCAGTCAATTAATTAGGAGATTGACACTGGCATCACATGGAAACTTTTGATCATGATCAAGGCTAATCCAAATATACTTTCTTTGTCATAATTGTCCAATTTATGCAAGCGGCACAAGGAAGCATATTATTGTTAAGAGTTTCATACTGCTGAGGCTTGTCTTAGTTAATAAAAACATATGTCTTGAAACGATTCAATTGGGCTTGAACCAAACTAACGTTGTTAAACTATTTTATAATTCAGTCATACCACGCAAAAAGAAATGCTTTTGAGTTACATAAGCACTTGCTCATATACTTCATGCCAATCTACCATTTTTCAACCCACCTTTTTCATACGCTATTTTATTGTACGGATTCAAAACAAATAGACGGCTTCCTCACTAACAGCGTCTATTGTAAGACACAAATATCCTGCAGGCAATATGAAAGTACTCGACGTGTCTTGCAAGTTGTGCCTGACTCCAACAAACGGCATTCGCATAATGCTTGTATTAAGCCAACAACGTACTAGAACACATTGTCTCATAGAAGCTTTCCTACATAACGCAATTTGAAAAAGGTTACACTTAAGTTGCTTGACTGAGAACGTAGCACGAGGTATGTACTCAGTGACACCGCACAAAATGATAATGCATCTGTCGCCCAACGAGGAAATAAGAAGTGTACCTTTAGTGTAGGAAAAACATGTCTTCTAGTCGCTTATTCAAGAAGGTGGTAGACTACATTCCTTGATGGTTTGAAATGCCTTGGTACTTCACATGCGCAGTATTCAGGAGTCAGTGGTGGACATTTCAAAATTACCCCAGACACGTTGTTTATTCATGCAACACTGCACATGGCGAAAATCTTTGAGGGAGTCGGGGATGCATTTAATTATGCAGCAGCTCACTGATTGTGCAAGATAGTGCATTTCACACTCGTGGAACACCAGAATGTCCCACCTTTGCATCTATTGCCCTATATCTCTGTGCGAAATTTGGGTTCAAGCTGGTTGAACCAAGGTACATTGTGACTGTTGTGAACGTTGTGACCTAAACAAACAGTAACAAGACCTGCATGGTGAATATTTACGCACCTTGACATCTACTGTACCACGCTCTTGAATCAGCCACTTTGATTCATCTAGCAGTTCCTTCGCCTTTTCACTAATGTGGACACGCAGGGCCTGTAAAGATACAAAATATTGCGAACTCTTCAAAGATAGTTCATATTTACATACCGAATCTTGAAAGTTGTGCTTTACTGATTCTCTCAAGTTTAGCTCAAGGAAGAATGCAAACAAATCCTTTTCAAAATAATTATGTATCCAGGTTGACATAAAGTAAGACTACAATTATGGCTGTCAGCGACCCAGCTAGGATTTAGTAATTCACTTGTAGTCAATGCCAGCGAATGAAAATGTTTCTGCTTAAACATTGGAGGCAGTCACTGTTCCACTTCTAGCATGTCCTCTAGCATGTCAATTCTTCTAGCACGTCAGTGCCTCTACATATTTCGCTCTAAAATTTAATTCTGGTTTACGTGCTTACTCATGAAAGACAGCCCTGGCGCAAAGCTCCTCCCCACGTGTCATGGTGGTTGGGTGCATTGCTTATTCTGACAGTGGGTCGAAGGCGCAGGCAAAGTTATACCGGTTGCCCTTTTGCTACAGTGTCTAGAAATATACTGGCTAGTGTGCTGAGCGCGCGTATTCAGTACGAGAGAGGGTGGTCCCGCATGTGATGACTGCACTCAGATGCCACAAGCGGCGCTGTGTGTCGAGAGGGTGCGCGAACGCGCGGAATTCCTCTCGCCCTGTTGCTGCCGGAGCCTCGCCACGTTTAAAATCAATGTGTGGCAGCTGCCATCTGATTCACTGGGAAGTTCCACGGCACCATATGTACACTGCAACACCCTGAGATGTTAAAAGATAAGCGGCAATGCAAAGAAAGGACGTGTATTGTGCCGCTGTGTCAAAAAAGTTATTGGTTGAACAAACAAAACATGTCTAACTAACGGATCAAGCGCGGTTTCCTGAATGAAAAAGTAGGATCAAGAGAGCAGACAGAAGGCTGAATCCGAAGGCTGTCGTGTGAGAGAAGCATTCAGAGAGTGACTCGATCGAACTATCTTTTCGGATTAGGGTGAGCGGTGTCGGGAAAATCGCCGTTTAGGCATAATTTCAAATATCAATATTTATCTAAAAAATTGAAAATACCCTTTCAAATTTCATTCACACAATTTTTCTCCCATTTCAACGTAAGACTGCTTTTCCAACTACGTTTTGAGTATCAATGTCAAATTGTTCACTGGCATGTTATTATTTTTTGTTTTCACTCGAACACTAATGAAATGCATGCTAAGAGGTAAATGTTTTTTAGGTCTTCTGTGATAATTCTTGCTCTCTAGAACAAAGCAATTTTTGAAAATAACTCTGCTGGTTATGCTCTAAATGGTTTTTAAAATTAATTTCTTTGCGTACTGTAACCACTTTGAGCACCTATCTATCTATCTATCTATCTATCTATCTATCTATCTATCTATCTATCTATCTATCTATCTATCTATCTATCTATCTATCTATCTATCTATCTATCTATCTGTCTATCTATCTATCTATCTATCTATCTACATATCTATCTATCTCTATATCTATCTCTCTATCTGTCTATCTATCTCTCCGTCTGTCTGTCCGTCTGTCTGTCTGTCCCTCTGTCTGTCCGTCTGCACATCCGTCCGTACGTCTGTTCATCCGTCCGTTCGTCTGTCTGTCCGTCCATCTGTCTGTCCATCTGCCCGTTCATATGTCTGTCTGTCTGTCTGTCTGTCTGTCTGTCTGTCTGTCTGTTTGTTTGTTTGTCTGTCTGTCTGTCTGTCTGTCTGTCTGTCTGTCCATCTATCTGTCGGTCCGTCTGTCTGTCCGTCTGTCTGTCTGTCTGTCCGTCTGTGTGTCTGTTCGTCTGTCTGTCCGTCCGTCCATCTGTCCATCCGTCCATTCATCTGCTCATTCATACGTCTGTCTGTCTGTCTGTCTGTCTGTCTGTCTGTCTGTCTGTCTGTCTGTCTGTCTGTCTGTCTGTATGTATGTCTGTCTGCCTGTCTGTCTGTCCGTCCGTTCATCTGTCTATCTGTCTATCTCTCTATCTATCTATCTATTTATCTATCTATTTATCTATCAAATCACCTACGTCTGGGTGCCCTCACAATCAACCCCTTAACTTAGGGTAAACCAAAGTTAGTGTGGGTTGGTAAGATGGTTTGCTGAATATGACTTGCTGGTTCTGACATGAATTATTTCACGATCCCGTCACGTACGCCATCAAACCCTAAGCGCCACTTCATGAAGTTTCACTTAATAAAAATTTCTACAACAGAGTCACCTTGCATAGCATTAATTCACAAGTTACATGGGACCTGCCTTTTTCCTTTTTTTGTGGGCAGTAGCGGATTGCGAAATGTATGCCACAAAATGATCTTCATTTGGTATTGCAAAGCGCCACTACTGTAAAAGCAATCGACTAGTTCCTATACAATGAAGCAATATGCAAAAAACACTCCGAAAATGCAATAAGTTATTAGTTGGCCTCGTGCGGCTCAGCCTTCTGAAAGCTTCGCAGCATTTGCGGAGCGCAATGGTTGAACGCAAATGCACCCACTCGCACAGCATCGCACGATGCGGGCGCCACCGGCTGTCATAAGCTGTCGGGCCATCTCCTAGCTCGCACTCAGCACACTAGGCAGTATATTTCTAGACACTGTACTTTTGCTACGGGCTGACCATATCGAGCACTTACTGTTCATGGGGGAAGAACATTGCGCCAATTCTCACTGTCCTAGATTCAAAATCCTGAAATCCAGAACAAAATTTTGCATTGGAATACTCTGACCATAGACATAGTTAATCCTGTCGGCTGCGACAGTTAAGATTGGGATGATAAATGTAATCCCGATGGTTCAGATGATCCCGACGACCCTTTGAAAGACTGGACTGCTTGCTCACTTCCTGGCAAACTTCGGTTTATTTACTCACCGGCAATTATTTACAAACAAAGGCCGGGGTGGCCATTAATCCAAGTGCAGAGTAAGCACTGGCATGTTTTAATATCAACGTCGGCGTTACTTGCTGAGCCCTTCGTATACTCCACACATCCACACCAACTTCTCGATGTAGTAACAACCTTGGATCAGAGTCTGCGCTAAGCACGACCTCTATCCCCCTCAACGTAGTATCAACCTTGAATAAGAGTCTGCGCTAAGCACGACCTCTGTTCCCGCTTTCCGATCTCGTTCCCGATCACCAAGCGCCCTTCTTTCCGTTTCTCTTCAATAAATACCTCCCGTCTCAACTGAGACAGCCTCGTGGGACAAACCCCTACTCGATGCTTTACCAATGGAGCAAACAACTGCCCTTTCCTGAGAGATGGGTCTCCAGCTCTGCGTTCCCACACTTTGCTATCCTCCGAGGATCGTCTAAGAAGAAATCCATCATTTCAATGACGTACAGCTTAAATGATACTTTCGTGTGACAACAAGCCAGTCTAGACGGCCGGTCGGCTGTCTGGCGTTGGTTGACGCAATTCTGCCGTATATCCACACGTGTTGTTACAGCATGGCACCACATCATTTTGTCGGGAGCCGTTTCGCGACAGCGACCACTTAATTTGCAATCTGGCTCGCCGTGAGGGCACTACCGCCATGCGGGTGACTCCCCAGCACAAGATGCGGTGAACAAAGCCTCATGGGGTTTGACGACAAAGACGCGTTCCGAGAATGGCTTAGTCTGCGTCTGGGCCGCCTCTTTTCATTAACTTCCCTTTCTGTCGGGCGCCGTCTACCGACTGGCCATCCTTCGCGTGCCCCAAACATAACTAACATGCTCAAACAATTCTTGTAAGTTGAACTATGTACAAACATCTTCTTAATACTAGCATGCTTCCTTACAGCAGTCGCTAAAATAAGAGAGCTAATAACAGAATAGCATTAGTGAGCTCGTTCCTTGAAAATTATTGCACCAGCATTGTCGTCATTGGTTGTGAGCAAAAAGTATTCATGTGATGCGTGACCAAAAAGTCGACAACGGTGCAAATAAAATTTCGGGTCAGAGTGGGGAGCGCACTATGGTCAGTTCGGTCCGAGTTGTGATTCAACCCGGGTCGTTTGCGCGACAAGCGAATGTTCTACCTCACGGCCCTGCTCCTGCTTCGGAATACAGTGAAAACAACTTCCTCTGGTTAGAAATGCAGTGAAAGTACCTTTAATGCTTTACAAACACACGCGCCCTGTATACTAGCTTCACAATTCAACGTCAAGTGTTGCAGTAATAATAGCTCGCGGTACAAGCGTTCACTGCCAATGGGCACCAGAACATGCGAATATTATAATGACTTTGTGGTTTAAAGGTTGCCACCCACTACAAAAGGCACGCGCGCTACTGCGCCTATTCCCTTGAGGCCACGTACTGAGTGTAACGCAAGTTCTAAAAGGTTTCATGCAACAGGTTTTTTGAGTACGCACTAAGAAGAGGACATCACTATCGCTTTCAACCCCGTAAGGTAAAGTTTTAGGGTCGCCTAACTTCTAAATCAGTTATTTGAGTCCCTCACAGTGATATTTTCTCACGTTTTGACCCCCTCGATATATGGATATATAAAGTGGAACGAGAATTTTAAAGTTATTTTCAGTGATGATATATAATAAAATGTCCAAGCCTAAATTTGAAAACCCGGTGCTGCGTACATCATAACACAAATAAAAGAATCCTTACAATGCACACGAAAATGCATATCAAAAATATTTGCATATATTTCGCCTCCAAAATACATACAATATATACGAATTTCATTTCAAGTGTCACCTCCGAAATACAAAGTGGTTTTTTTTTGGAAAAACGATTAGGTCGACAGCAGAAAGGAGGTTCAAAAAACTAACATATTGGTTATTTGAAACCTTCTGCGCAGATATTCTCCAGCAACGTACTTTTTTCCTCGCCGTCGATTCGGTGGAACATTAAACGCTTAATTCAGGAAGGGCGATTCCAAACGCAAGCAGCCGTCTCTATTCGTTTGACTGAAACAAGCAAGAAAAAACAATTATGCAGTCACTACGAGTAGCCTGCCGATTGGCCATCCTAATAAGTGGCTTGTTGCTACGTGTTAAATTTTATTTAGTGTAACAATCTTTTCACTAATCATTCAATAGAAATAAAGTTCCATTGGGCTATGACAATAACTGCGTCCATTTTATACGAAGTTGTGCATTTTATCATGCTTCCCTCAATAGCAAACAAATCTGCAGCTTAAACCAATTCACCATCTACGGACATGTATCAACGAAAAGGAAATAGAAGAAATGCAACTGGTTAGAATAAGTCCTACCTCACTCGTGCTTTCCATCCGCGATGCCGTGTTGACAGAATCACCAAATAGGCAGTAACGGGGCATCTTCAGGCCCACAACACCCGCCACCACGGCGCCAGAATGGACACCTGAAATAAATATTGAGTTCTTGAATATACATGGCGCAAGCTTTGAGTTGTTTGATTTCATACCAGAGTTTTTATTGAAGAATTGTACACAGAACATGATGGCAGTAGTAAAATGAATGTGTAAGCAACCTCGTAGTTATACCAGCAACATATATCTTGAAAATAAATACTATTTGAACTTGAAATAGAACGGCACGGGGGCAAAACAACCACTAGTATACTATGTACTTATCCGGTGTTCAAATGAGCAAAGGAGCTTGGTAGAAATGAAGCTAGGAAGAATGAAATAAGGGGCTCACTGCCAAATAGCAAAAAGCAAGACGCCGACCAAGAAAGAAACACTTTAAAATATCACAGACGTTTCAGCTCCCGAATAGCGAACGCCACGGTGCTCTTGTTGCTAAAGTACTCGGCTGTTCACCCGCAGGTTGCGGGATCAAATCCCGGCTGTAGTGGCTGCACTTTCGATAAAGGCGAAATTGCTGTAGGTCCTTGGGCTCAAATTTTGGCGCGTGGTTAAGAACCCCCGGTGGTCGAAATTTCTAGAGCCCTCTACTACGGCCTCTCTCATATTCGTAAGGTGGTCTTGGGACGTTAAACCCCACGTATAAATCAGTCATCTCATGGACAGGGCCTTATTATCACACAAAAAATTGTGAATATGGCCCGCTGAGAGCCGAAAAGTCGGTGTTAAACTTGCCGTTTTTCGAACGGCATCTCGCTTTTACTTTTTAATCATGATCATGCTCTACGAAACGAGATTTCATCTAAGTCTTGGTTTCAATAACTGGTCCATCAGCAGTTTGTACTCCCAGCGCAACTGCTTCGCAGCAATGGCAGGAGCTATTTATCTAACATCACTGGAGCCATATTCGTATTCCGAGCGTCGTGGTGAATGAAAACTTAAAAGACTGCGCGCAATTATATTTCGCTAGAGGACGCGATATTTATTAAACACATCTTTGTTTGAAGAAGTTCATGCAAAGTGGGGAACGTAAATGTAACTTAAAGGAGCGTCTACATGTCTATCGCTAAGAGCTCTTTCAAAAGGTTGTAATATTTTTCTCTAATGGGATAACCAATATCCTTTCCTATTTGATTCGAGAAATTTCCATGCTGTTTAGAATTGGCGCACAACAAAACACCTGCTTCAGAATCAAAGTACTACTCTCCCAAAGTGTCGTTGAGGCCTCTTAAGGTGGCTGAGCTCTCAGTGACACGAACAAAAACAGTAGCCATCAAATTTCAGGCTTATCGCAGCCGTATCGTAAAAGCGGATGGCACTAACCAACAAGACAAATCTGCTTTCCTAAGCAATCAACAAGTGATACGGCAACGGAAACTCTAGAAAACATCATTTTTTCGTCGTAGAATGCAGCTCGATCCCCCTCCTTCAGGCAGAACTATCAGGTCTATCACTGCCCGACGTCGTATTATAAGCATAAAAGACTTCTTGAAAAATATTATCCAACTCCATGAACTGAAAGTACGCCTCGACTGACATTCAAGACACCTGAGCTTTACATTACGTCCACCCTTGTAGCTAACAAAAACACACTGACTGGACATTACTGCTCTTGCTGACTGCGCATCTATTTTGCATGAACGCTTCGTTTCCGAGTGCACCCCCGCACCCTGCACATTCGTCCTGAGATTTCATAATGAGCAAGGTAGGTTCTTTTTGCAATGTACTGCGTGAAATAGCACCTAGAACGTATTGTTTATAACAACTTTATTACATGTACTGATCTTTTTTCTGTTTTAGCGCTGCCGTAAAAATTTCCACAAAGAAGTAAGAGAATAACATGTGACAGCACGTTGATGCAGTAACTGCCACGTTGATGACATTTATTTGCAGCTCATGGTATATACTGGAATTTTCCTGAATCCTATCGAACGAAATGTATATGTTTGCGGTCCTAAGTCGTAGCTTAGACTAGAGTCCTCTACAAAATTTTTCGGAACATATATAAGAGCCACGTCACGAATGATTATAAACTACAGGATCGGAATTTTATATCCGTTGAATTAAACGTTTCCTTAAATAAATGTGCGAGGAATGTGTATATAAAAGAAAGGCTGTGTTGCTGTAGAGAAAAAAAAATCGCTATATGATTTTAAGGCTGTTCAGCTTTCGCACAAGCCTTCTTATTTATTCCCGTAACTTTGTTAATCATTGTTAGCACTATTCGCAATGCTGTATTGTTGTAGTTCTCCGCCTGGGAAGTGACCCAGATGACAACGCTGGTCATCAAGTTCGCTTACGTTTGTGCAAACAAGAAATGCGCCACGGCAAATGTCAGTTATTATTTGCGCGTTAGTGCAGTAATATCAAGAAATTGTGATCTGCACAACAAAGAAAAAACACAAGATTCATGCCTGCGTCATTCCAATTGGTAAAACACAAAAGTTAGATGTGCCGCTACAAAAGTAGTTTAACTTATACTGTACATTGATATAAGAGAGCTTGAGCAATGTCTATTGAAGTTTGAAAGCTCTCACACCCCTTATTTTAGATGTATCCACGTTTATGTTTTGTCATACTTCTACTGCGGTGAGTAAGGGGTTTACTCAATGGGCCCAGGTGATCGGATGCACTCAAGACAACCTGATAACACGAAGACGTTCTTTATATTTAACGAGGACAAGAACACACACGAAGATATCTCACAAAAAACATCAGAACGATACAAGATGAAAGAAAGTCTACTGTCAAGTTCCTGTCCACGCAAGACGTAAGTCTACATCTTAACAATCAACGCGCTTAACTTCCGCGCCACCAAGTTTTCAAGACGACACTCACGCGCACCGTCATTGCGGTGACCATAGCACCGGGCAACGTGGCGTTGAGTCCATCGTGGTAGCGTCCATGGGGGAACACACCTCCTGTAGCTCGCTGGCTCGAGCTTACGTCGATGTCCCGCACCCTGACATCGTGCTGGCGTCCCGGTCACGCTCGACGGAAGCGAGCGCCACGACACGGGGTCGAAAGCCCCGACAACCATCGAAGCCGGCTGCGTACGTTCGCTGCAGTAGTCTTCTTTCTTCTCTTCTTGTTTTTTGTTTCAATTCCGCGCTCAGGGTTTTGCCGCTACGGCTTGCTCGTCGCAGTCACCACATTCTTCCCCCCTGTTTCAGAAAGTTGCATGCACTTTGGCTGCTACTGTTGAACTAGTCCGCAGGGCGTGCAACTTGACGATACCGAAGAATGTAGAGGTGTAGTCAGATAGGCACTTTGGTTGCTGACATTCATACGGTTCAAAGTCCATTGCCGGGTCGAAGTTCAGACGCACATGTTGAATACGGAGTTGCACCGATGTTGTAGGCTGGAATATCCAAGTATTTCACCGGCACTTAGGGAGCACTTCAATATACACTCAAAGATTTACCGGTATAGAAGGACACTATTTGTAGTCGTATACTTTATCATCACCCATACACATCGATAGATGACAGTGAAAAAAATAAATAATAAATAAAAAGACAAAAATATGTTACAAGATGGTGCCACACCCAAAAGAATTTGTACACTTTTCAAGTGTAACTCGAACTTCATGTGCCTTGAAATAACATTTCAGCTCTTAGGTTGGCATAATAAAAACGTACAGCTGCTTTCACTTAGCTGACAATTATTCTTGGTGGCTGTGATTGTTCGTGGACCCAGGAACTCAGACGCGCAGAGCCGTGACAGTGAACACAGGAAATACTTTATCAAGTCAGACGGAGCACAACTGAAAGACATAGACAACTGACGCAATAAGCATAAACTTAACACTTTCAACGATGATAATGATTTGTCTTTGAAGATGTACTAAGGGCGTCCACACACGGAATTCACGGCACCGCATTCTCGTGACCCGATGCTTAGGCCAACGACCACTCACTCATGCCATTGTGACGAACACAGGCGCCGGGCAGCACGATGAATCGGTCGAGTCAAACTTGGAAGCATCGACGCCCAGTAAGTCGGGCGAACATTATGTCAGCGCGAGAAATTGGTTCCGCATCCAGTTCGAAGTCCATTGTCGTGTCGCAGTTCAGTTCAAAATCAGTCAACCAGGTTTGTATTCTTCCTCCTTTTCTTCCATGTACTAGCACAGAACCAGAGCTCTTTCTTCCTATGTGCTTCTGTGTACCGCGGTGGCTTCCCGATGTTTATATAGATGGAACAGTGTTCGATCCAAAAATCAAGGTCTGAGTGCCAAGCTACGTAGTCCAAAGCACGCCACATTTTTCGGTTGTCTCGAAGTTCATTTGCCTCCGCACGGTATGGAGTAACATGTTTTGGGCTCACAGCGTTCCTACCTCCACTGCTACTCTTGGAGCTCCGGCCTCTCTTGCTCGAATTATGATCACCTTCTGGCTCTATTTTAGGGTTGGTCAATGCGACTCGCGTTTCGTTAGGCTCCGAAGCAAAAGTCTCAGATATTCATGACGTGCTCTTTGTATGGCCGAGAGGTTTCAGCTGACCACTGCAGAGATCATGCTGCTCTATACTTCTGCCACCTTCAATGCCATCACATGTCTGCTTAACACATTCACTAGCAGACCATGTATCCAGAGCTGCATCACCACGTTCCCCAACACACACTTTTTTGAGTGTACCTGACAGATTTGTGTCAACATCATGATTAACAATGTTATCTTTGTGAAGATTGATTTGGTTCTCTTCATTAACCTCCTTAAGCACTGCCTTATTTGCAACCTCTCGGATCACCCATATAGCTGTGCTGATCTCAGACAACAGCTTTTCTCCTTCCTGTCTCAAACTCACACGCTCACAGTCATTGTTGCACATGTACCGCAGTTCAGAATCAATTCTATTATGTTCCTCTTCGAGGTCTTCTTGCAACATTCGCTCTAAGTCAGCGCAGGACCACCCGACCTCGTTTCCAATACAGAGCAGTCTCTGCACGTTAACAGGCATCCTGTGCGCGACCAGTTCTCGGCTGAAAGATGTTAAGTGCCGGTCCTGGCAAGGTTCGCCAGCTGTGTTGAGTAAGGGGTTTACTCATAGGGCCCAGGTCATCGGACGCACTCAAGACAACCTGATAACACGAAGACGTCCTTTATATTGAACGAGGACAAGAACACACACGAAGAAATCTCACGAAAAACATCGGAACAATACGAGATGAAAGAAAGTCTACTGTCAAGTTACTGTCCACGCAAAACGTAAGTCTACATCTTAACAATTAACGCACTTAACTTCCGCGCCACCAAGTTTGCAAGACGACACTCACGCGCACCATCGTTTCGGTGACCGTAGCACCGGGCAACGTGGCGTTGAGTCCGTCGTGGTAGCGTCCATGGGGGAACACACCTCCTGTAGCTCGCTGGCTCGAGCTTACGTCGATGTCCCGCACCCTGACATCGTGCTGGCGTCCCGGTCACGCTCGACCGAAGCGAGCGCCCAGGACACGGGGTCGAAAGCCCCGACAACCATCGAAGCCGGCTGCGTACGTTCGCTGCACCAGTCTTCTTTCTTCTCTTCTTCCTTTTCGTTTCCATTCCGCGCTCAGGGTTTTGCCCCTACGACTCGCTCGTCGCAGTCACAACATCTACATCCCCATGGCTAACGTCCACCAATTATGATTAAGCAGACCCTCGCGCTCATAGAATCCCGTGGTAGCTCTAGTAATTAACGATGAAAGCGGAACCAGAAACAGCGATGTAACAGCCAGAGAGCGTGACTGAATGTACGCCGGAGTTGACCTAAAATCGAGTACTCGAGGCATGTTGGATTTATTTAGCCCCACTGCCCGCACATAGGGACGCTAAACGCACGCCTTGTCTTCCTACTGGCCACAGCAATCGATCGCCGGGTGAGCGTAAGTGAGGAACGCGAAGTTAAAGCCTGCAGCTAAAGCCGACGGGTGTCGAAGAGCTCACTGAGCGATTTGGTGTGTATAGATGCTACGAGCTACGGTGACGCTTGCCGTAAGTTCGCCACCTGGTTGTGTGTTATGGCGTTGACAAAATTGCAGTTTTGGGAAAGCGCTGAATGAGACGGATGCTTAGAAACGACGCGTTGAAGGAACTAATCGTGCACGTCACGGTCATCATGCATTACTGCACTTTACAAAGAACGCTGTGAGAGGACAGTAATAGAGATGCGTCGCTGAAGTCTTGGTGAACACCAGCATTCACATCTTTCTTGTGAAATCGATTTGTATTAGCTTTTCCGATAGGAAGCCACAAACAGTCGTTCGCGTTGCATTCTTGCATCGGCTTGCTAGTACCTAATAATTTTGGTATCAACCTGTCATCCAATTTTTAATATCATAGCTGTTGAGTTATGATCTAAAAATGGTGGACTGTACAGCAAAAAGAGATACAATCATCAGATCGCTAATCATCAGGCATTAGCTCTCGTAGGTTCGACCTCGAAATTTCATCCGTCTGGATTAGCCCTACGTCGGCGCTCATAATTATGAGCACTCGTAACGACGTGATTTCTTAAGCACAATCTTTACTCTTTGTTTAGAGGCTGTTCGCTAGGCCAATCTGAATTAATTTTAACTGCAAATGCTTTTTTTCTTTCGGAAATAAAATTGAACCTCAAGACACACTCGGTAACTGCGGAAGTGACTATTTTGGGGGACATTGTCATCTGCATTCACCCACAGGCTAACTGCTACTGGGTAGCAGTCCTAAGTTCTTGCAGAAAGAATACATGCATGGTTTTACAACATTCTTCCGGCCACAAACTGTTAACCATGTTGTAATGGCTCTTGCCTTTTAAGCTCTTTCACCACGTCAGTATGAAACAGTTCAGACCATGTTAGGCTGCTATAGTGAACACATCACAATGGATGAGTATACATATATTAAGTAATTAATCAGTTGTCTAAACCAATTGATGCAGTACGCCACTTTTCTTTTGAAAGTCTAAGTGTCTATATTCCTCCTTACAACACTTCTTTTGCCACTAATCAATTTTCATGCCTGATTTGTGGTACGCCAACCAGTTGAAATATTGATAAGCTTGCAGCGAGCTGTAAAAACGCAGGCTTCGACTAATGTGTACAGTTTGATACCTATGTCACACCGGGGACAGCTATGAGAATAATGCTATGTCAGCAAGCTTCTTTGCAGTTATAACTTGTGCCACCAATGCAAAGCTAATTTAGCTAATCACACTTCGTAGAGCAAACCTAACTGAAAATAGTTCAAGCGATTCGCGAGAAAGGCTGATTCGTAATATTATGCGACAAAATACTAGAAACGCCTGTTGCAGTTCTGGCTACTCACAGTACTAGATGTCATTGGTCGAAAATAGCTTTTTAAATGCCACACATTTTATTCATAAAACTCCGGAGAGGGTTTCAGGCTATAAAGCTATTATTATTAGCGTCTTAATATTCGGAAGTTTTTCACTTAGTGTTCTATCATTTAAACAAAAATATTTTGCTTGTGTAAGATAGGGACACATAGCAAGAGCAAGAATATATGCGTCCTCTCTATACGTGAGCCGTGTGCGTAGCATCAAGTGGGTAATTTTATTCCTTCTTGGAGCAACTGCCATCGTGCTAACGTCCACGTAGGCTGGCCTAGGCAATCTGATGCTGTCTAATGAGCTTTATTTTTCTTGTCTTCCGCAACATTTCCGAGGCTGTTACAAGTCAATTCAATCTAGTTAAGTTGGATACAATATCACTGGTTCTATAGCTGAACGTCCTTGCTTTACGTCATTTTGTTCTAGATCAATTTCTTTTAATGTAGGATTACTTCTGTTAAACAATAAATTTTCATACTAGACACTAAGCATATAAAAGATGGCTGCTATACTTTCATATCCCATTGCACACCTAAGTTGAAGAAAATGACCTTTAAATGCTTCTAGATTGTACCTGTCAATGCCTGTCACGATGACTCGACAGATTGACTGTCAATAAATTCTTTAGAGTGCCCAACCCTGTAGTGTTCATGACCTTCAGAGAGCCTTACCTCAATTCGTTAGTGTGTCTGCCAACGGTGATGTCAAGTAAAGAATAAAGCTATGAAAAACATCCGTAGTTATCATTATTACTATTTCTCATAGGTCGCGTCAGCACCAAGGAAGCATCGGGTGCAAAAGCTGCAAACCTGCGTCACAAAGCTCTAACCATGAAAGACCAATCATTATTTATTGGAAAATAACTTACCCGCCTGAAGGCATTGAATAAAGAGGTTTACAGAGAAATCAGAAGAAAACTCATATAGAACAAGGCTACGGTGTATTTTACGCGAAGAACAAAATGCTATGTAACAATTAACAATGCAATCAGTCATCGTATTTCTACAGTTCACAAAGAGCCGATCAAAGCACGTTAATCAAAAGAACGCTCAACACTTCAGAAAACTGCGTTGCGAATTTGATGTCCTAGGTCTGGAACCATCAAAATCTCGGGTAATATAGCAATGCAGTCGGTAATGTATGTAATGCGCATGATGATGTCAGTTGTAGTCTAGTTGATATCTCCGGTGTATAATGATTTCCACCTATTCTGTTTTGCTCACTCAAGGGAGAGGCATATCGAAGCGTTTGGGAACCCGGCTGGCTATTCACTGAAGATTATGACAAAGATGAAGTGGATATGTTATCGTTCATTCTGAGAGGATGAAATATCGTCTTTTTTAAATAAAAGCCACTCCAGGACGTTCAGTTAAATCCTCACGTACCAACGCGTATCTTGAGGCTCTTTCCAGTCGAGGGGTCCTTCAGGTCACCTATCACCTTCACCATGGCAAGCCCCATCTCACAGACCTTCTCTGAATGGTTGGGCTCCGGCTCAGGCGCACCGGACACCACCATGTACGCGTCACCGATGGTTTCCACCTGTTCAGAAATATGAACATCAGCTTGTCGACTTGGAGAACTTCCTCTCGATAATACTAAAATACTGTCGCAGTTGTTAGTGTACTGCGAATGCAAGAAACAATGGAGTCCAAGGAAAAGTGGTGCCGTCTTCAACACGAGTGGCATTTGCTAATGCTGAACTGTATATGTCTAGTTCCCGCATACAAAGCATGTGTGTTGAGTTGGCTTGAGTAGTTCTCATTCAGAGAACGTTGTATCCTGTGAAGAGTAGATACAAGCTGAACCATAGTGTGCATTCTTGAACATTATAGCATAAAGTGAACAGCTTTGATTTATACGTTCTCACTAAAACGGCAGGTAGTTTTAACTCTTGTTTTTTTTTTAATGTCATCGGTGCTTATACAGTTGTGTGTAATAAATAATAAGTATTCTCGACATAGTTTTTTTATGATGTTCTGTAAATGAAACTCTCTTCCTTTTAGTAACTTCCTGTGTAGTGCATGTGCTATATTCCCGTATGTCACATGCCTATGTTTCCGAGGCAAAGCAATTGGCACGGCCAAATCATTGCTCTTTGTAGGTAGCACAATATAAACGCTTTGCAGATACTAAATGAATGCACAACACTGGATTGATTCTGATCGGTGATATGTCCTAAGCCTCATTCATTCAAATACGAAGTGGAAAACAACATACTAGTAACAGTCACATAAAACTAATCTTGACCATCAAGAAGGTGAGCGCTGCGATATATGTCGATTGGTAGTTTACTGCGACAACTCACCTTATTATTGCACCATACGTTACTGCACCGATAAAGCATTCCCTTTGTGTTCGTTCAAGCTGTAATCAATCTACAGTGAACTAAAGCGGCAAAGATAAACTGATCTCTTTATAGTCAACAATACCACAAAAACTTTGTCACCGTTTTGTAAATGTCGATGACGATTATAACTGTTGATTATGTTGCCCTAATTTAATGATCTAAAACGTTATAGTACATGCATAACAAACGCAAGATGTTTTCATAAACTAAATTGCAGCCTATTTCGATCATATCTAGAAGTGCAGAAATCATGGTATCTCGTAAAGTACGAAATGTTTGGAATAAACTGTGAACGCTTTAGAGCAGCATAGGCACTCTACTATGAGAGAGCTATAGACTGTCACAGGAAGGGCGGGACAGTGTAGAGTCCTGTGTGTTTATAAATAAAGTTAGCAACACTTTAGAGTACTTGCCACTCTACTATGGCAGAGCGAAATTTCACCCCGAGGGCCTACATGGAAACGGGACAACAGTGAAATCCTAATTACTGATGACGTGTAATTAGAGAATTGTGTTAGCGATTTGGAGTACTTGGTACTCTACTATGGGAGAGCATAAGGCCATCCTGTCGACCTCACACTTCATGAGGCCTTGTCGCGCGCAATGCTAACAAGATGTGTTTAGAAAAAAAATTGCCAACGACTTCCTGTACTTGGTACTGTACTATGGGAGAGCATAACGCCAGCCCGTGGACCGCACACTTGTTAATGCCCTGTTGACGAAAGTTTACAAAGGATGAAGGAACTACTTCACGTAGTCCCTTATGAAAGGCATGTCCACCACGCTCTAGAGTTGTGGCCCCACTACAAAGCACAGCCATCAACTGGTGTTTAGAAAAATATGTTTAACGATTTCAAGTACTTACTACTCAACTATGGGAGAGCACTGAGCCGTCCCGCTAAAATCATTTACCTGGTATAGCAGTGGTAAATTGATGTTGATGAACTTGTTTTCATAAAACGAAGTCTCGCTGCTTCCTGAGAAATCCTACAGCCTCGCCTAAAGTTACTGGGATTGAAGCTGTCTTTGTACAGTTTTCTTGTACGAAAACTTTGTTGAACTAGTTTTACAAATGAGACCAGTGTTCAAATTTGTTCAACTCATATACTCGTTGATGGAAAATTATTGTAGCTAAGATTTTTTTTCATGGAATGCATGAATAAACGGATGAAATTTTTCAATAAACTTATTTATTTTAATGACATTTCTGAACTGAGTTTAATTTATTCAGTTTACAATAAAACCAACGCAGTCCTTCGCGGCCAACCTACTCGGGCAACAAAGCTATAGTAATTTTTAAGCAGAGTTATAAGATATGCAAGTGGTATACGAAGCTAAACACTACATGGTACTGTGCGTGGTCAGTACCAGTTCGCTATGTTCTTATGCAGCGTGACATTACCACGGTGGTAAGAAAAGAATAAATCACTAAGGATAAACGCAGAATAAAAGGAAACTAAACATGGCTGTCTATTCTGCTCTGGGAAAGGAGAAAGGGTTCACAAAGTTGAGAAGGAGTACATGCGTTTGTAATTCATACCAACACGCACGCTATCCCAACAAACTGTCTTCTGAGGTAAAAGATCTTCTTTTCTACAATTTTTAGTCACTACACAGAACCGTGTGCACTGCGCGTTACCTCTGGGTTTTCATCTGTTCTGCACTTCTGGTCACTACCTTCAAGTGAGGCAAAGTACCATACCAGCTGAGCTCATGCGAAGCACGTTTGAATGTTGTGGTTGAGCAGAAAGCTTTTTGTGAGGCTCACCTTGTATACTCCATGCTTCTCGGTGAGCTCGTCGAATAGGGAGTACATGGAGTTCAGCATTGAGACGACCTCCATTGGCGTGATTCGGCTGCAGATCTCCGTGAACGACACCACGTCGCTGAACAGTATAGTGACCGATGCGAAGTACTGTGAAAAGAGCCAAACATAAGGATGTCGTCCATTCAAGCATAATTATTCTCAGACAGCATTATTATGCTAAGTGCACTGACGTACGAGGACGATTTCTGATCAAAACACATTTTACAAAACATTCAAACGTTCTGAACCCGAGTCAAGTATTCGAAAAGTTTAAAACTATCATAAGTTGCGAGAACGATATTCTGCGCATCTATAGTTTGACCTAACTACCATAGTGCGCTTTCTCCGAGAATCATAACTAGGCTTGCCCATGGCGGCTGAAAACACTATCTCTGTTGTGTTTTGTCTGGCTGAAGGTCTGACTTTAACGGACTTGCTAGTTCTTTTAGTCTCTTTGTTGCAAATACGAACCAAGGCTTCTAACGTACGTAAATGCCTAGCAGCGTTGCCGGGAGTCATCTTGTATCGGACAAATGTGGTTTAGAAATGCGTTAAGGCTACGTGAGAGGAGCCTAGAAGCAACGCGTGAAATGAAAGAAAAAAAACAGAACTCAACCGAGTTTTAGCTTTTGCGCATGCGTTAACCCGCTTACAAAACGCTGTTGCCAAGTGTCTGTATATTTTTGAAGCGCACACACTGAAAGACTATCGTTGACTCGACGAGAGACCACAGCGCACGCAAATGGTCTCTCCAGTAGTAATTAGAGTAAAACAACATGCGACAGCTTTGACTCGAATTGAATAAAGGTTTCCCCAGTAGAGAACACGATAAATAACCCGCAATGATTAAAAATTACTTGAAACATTGCAAGCTATGTCACTCAATAAATCAACTCATGTGTGCTTTAAAGTTGGCCTCCATGCATTATTACGTCTTACACTCAATATTTAGAAGAAATGCAGAATCCAAAGCATGTTTAGATACCTTGGCATTGTAACATGATCATGAGGTATTTATAACACTGTTTATTAGCTATGAACAACATCGGGCTTCTAACGTCAACCTACTTAATTTGGTTCAAAACACCGACAATCGTTTCGGAAGCATAGCACTCATGCTCCTTCCGTGGGTGTCTGTTCGCCAGTACGGTATTCCAGTGTGGAACACGCAACAAAATTAACACGTACAAAAACTGTAGAACGCACAAATAAACTGTTAGGATTTGTATATTGTAAGTGCAATATATACCTTAAAGGGTCCCTGAAACTGTTTTCCCACATTCCGTTTTGGAATATACCACTGCTGGAGCAAGTCATTGGCACCAGAGTTCAATCGAAACTCCCGTTATTAAAAAAGTAACAAGTAACAAAAAAGTACCCTTGTCCTCCACTCCCCTTTTCACCCTCAACTGCCCTGAACTCTTCCTTCGAGTACTCGGGGCTGAGCTCCGCCTTCACGGCGTCTGCTTCACGATGTGGCGTAAGACCGCATATGCGTAAATCACACCGCCGATCCGATACCGGCAGTCTTTGCTGCGCGTTTCCCAGCCAATCATATCAGCTGAAAACGATGACGTCAGTGGGGCAGAGCGTGCCGCTTGGTGTATGGGCGGTTGAAAACGCGTTTGGCCAAGTCGTAGTGATCTGCAGCAATCTGGAGCAACTCGCAGCTTTAAAGCGTTGTAATAAATTACACAGTTTACGCAGAAAGCTCAAGTCAATCTTTAAATTACCCTCGGAACTTGGTCTACCGGCCCAATGTGTCTCTAAAAAATTGTCAAAACCGATTCAGGATCCATTTAACGTACCTGCGCTTAGCCATTCAGCCATTTGTGTCACTTGCTGTGGCTGCCACGAAGCTTTTTTTTTTCTTATCTCCTGTATCACGATCACATAAAAGCTGAACAAGATTGCATGCAACTGCTGCAACGCCACTCCCCAAGAACCAGTCATAACGAACACACTACTCTGTATCAGAGAAAATGCGACACATTTAAATAGTCAATTGTTTCAATGGGCGATTGAAATTTGGAATGCATTGCCTAGTGAAGTTGTTCAGTTGCGTTCTCTGGATGACGTTATCGGAAAACGGCAACCGTACTTCGGTTGCGTATGAGCACGTACTTTGCAATAAAATTTATAGGAGGCAAACTGAGCAAAGCAGCTCGCGTTATTGTATAGTGCTTTTAGACGTGTAATGTTATTTAAACAATGTAATATACCTTTATTCAGAAGATACGACTATTTCTGTTATTCTTGTAAACATGAGTTTTCCTGTCATTGTAATCTACGAACGTTTCTTCTATTAATTGCTGGAGTGGTTGTTTGCGATACTTATTGGGTCTCTGTATCGATTTTTGTCCCGCTTTTTTTCTCACTCAATTATTTTACTCTCATGTTCGTGTTCATCTTTAGTATTCTATTCCTGTTTTGGTTGGTTCAAAGACTCACAGCAATTTTAAGTAAATAATTACAAATAAAATGCCACTGGATCTTGCGTAGAAGCCTATAAACCTTGCTTTCCTACTCACGTAGCTGATGTTACAAATTTCCATAACAGAGCTCAAGTTGAAGAGCCTCTGTCCACGTGCTTCTATTTGGTCCTATGTTGCCAAGAGCTCGATGTTCCGTGGGTGAATTTCACATAGGTGATAGCTTTGCATGATGTGAATGACTGCGACTTCTGCGTGTAACCTGATTGCTGTATTTTGCGGCAACAGTGCTTCCTGTTCACATAGAACAGTCACTGGAGGCATGAGATAACAATAGCATTTTCTGCATGTGTGTTCGACCAATACAGCTCTTAAAAAAATTTGCTCTAAAGAAACTTCTATTGAGCGTGAAAGTTATCGGGACGCTTTGACTGATTGCGCATACAGTCATTCTTAGCTGAATGCAAGTCACTGACAAAGTATGAAAGGAAGTTTTCTTGTTCTTTTTCGCACGCTCTTCATGTTTCACTTGCTACCGAAACGTTCTTCAAAGCATTTTTCACCATAAAACCTTTCTTTCCGCATGCGACATCTCTTGCCTCAACTGAAAGCGAAATCCTGTATCTGATTACCATGTGCCAGCCAAACCCAAAGCACTAGACCCTGCTCGTGGAGCAGTGTGCGAATCATTGTATTTTTCATTTATTTCATTTATTCATGACCACTTCTCTTTTCCGTCACCAAATTTTCGAGCACATCTCGGGAATCATTTTATGCGCAGCTTTTTTCTACGTACAAAATACATGCGTCTTCCCCCAAGAGATGCAAAATGTCTTTTTTTTTTTTTGAGAGAAGTTTTTTGTAAATCTTCTTGTTCATTACCCTTTAGACTTTTGCGGTGGTGCAACTTGTGTACTGCGCCAGCTTCGTGAGGAGCCAGCCACCTCAGTGCGTGCCAGAAGCGCATCAGCAACAGTTCGTAACGCAGGGTGGTGCAATGTTCTCAACGCACACTAAATGCCGTGAGGATAACTGACCAAAGTTTATCACATTTTGGTGAGTGCAAAGCCTGGTTTCATTGGCTTTAGCTGAGTTTTTATTTTAGTTACCAGCTACGATAGTAAAAAACAGCAGGCATAAAACCGACAGAACATTAAGCTAAGGGTATACGATGGCCTAACTTTGGGGGTCTGTATCTCTTGATACCATACTCCGCCGAGTCTATGAGTAAAATGCTGGTTTAGCTAGACTTTTACGCACGGACTTCGCATAAAAAGCTACGTTTTTGGTTCAGGTTTCTCCGTTTATTCCATTAGAACAAACATAATTTGTTCGTATGATCTGTCTATATAATCCTGCACTAACCTTTAGTAGTTTATTCATGCTTTATGACTTTAACGTGGGCTTTGTGCGATTTTATCTCAACGTTGTGCATAACCTCAAGTTAGGTTTTATTCTTACTTTCTAAAAATATTTTACGACAACGGTGTTATACAACAATTCTTCCGTGCATTATAGCAACTCCGAAGTGGTAAAAGAATCAAGCGCATAACAAATGAACGGGAACAGAGGTATGCCTTTCTGAACGTGAGCTGCTAGTCTTTTACTTGTTCTGAGATGCGTGGCGTGGGCGCCTCAATAACAATTATTAGGCTTCTCAATCACACCTTGTGTGGACACGTTATGCGAAACCAAGCTTGAAAAATTATCAAGGCAGTCTATATATATTACGAGAAGCACTGCAACTAACATTATTTTACAAATAGGCTCCGCCTGTATAGTTATAAGCAGAAATGATCAACGTACAAGTATGTCACAGCATATTCACCACTCAACACATGCCAGAGCGTATAACCTATAACGCATGCCAGAACCTGACAGCAATGCAGCTGTCACTGTAACAGAAGTGATATTCCACATCGAATGCATTTATCACTACACTGCTTATTACGATTAAACTAGTAGCCCTAACCTGAGCGTTCCGAGGTAGAGAGAAGAAAAGACACGAATGGCGGCAATATATGCCAAACAAATGACACACGCATCATCATGTGCCTGCCACTCAGCGAGCTAAGCCGACTTCGGAGGCCTCGCATCCGCAATTAAAGCGGAACGGCACCATAAGAAATACCATACCCGAGCGCGTTCAATCGACAGTGTGTCAGGTGGTCTTCATAGGCAAGATTGCTCGCGTGGACTTCGCCGGGAAATTGAAATCTCTGAGCAAGGTCGCGCACTCAAAGCGCCACGTGTCTGGCCCCGTCACCTTTAGAGAGCGGCGAAGATGCGCAAATTCACGGCTTTAAAAGCTCCTGGGCGTCAGCCAGTATTCTTCCGCTGTGCGCAGCCACTTCAGACGCCGGTCAGGGACGGGGTCGCCAGAAGAACGTCATCGCGCCATCGAAGCGACGTCCTTCAAGAGGGGAGGAGGAGCGGGAGTGTATGGTGGTGTTTTGACTACCGGTTCCCCATCGTGAAGTTTGTAGGCGTTACTTCGAAAGAAAAGTTTCTGATAGCTGCGATTTTTTTCCCTAAATTTCTGGGGAAGATGGCAGTCCCTGCAAAACGCCTGGGCAGTTCAGTGCCCAGGTACATCGTTTTGGCGTCGCCGCCTGCTGAGATCATAACTAAATCCCGTGGCACTGATGAATACCAACTTGTGAGGTAATTTTATTAAATTGTCTATTTTTGCCCGACCTTCTCAGCTTTTTCGAATAAAATGTACAAAAAATTAGCTTTTAAACACGCGGCTGTACTTTGTGGTGTACAAGGGATTTAATGTCATTCCAACGCTTTGAGAATTTGATAACATAACCCGATTCGTAATGAAACAATCACGTGTTCCCTTTCACTAATACTAAGGGCGTCACAGGTCAAAGCCAACACTCTACGAGGTATCCTTAATTGACTTGAATCTCCTTAGAATTGTCTGGTTAAATGCACGTCTATATTTTGCTGGCTCGTCTGAATGCACTTATAAAGTTAATATTGATTCATTTGAAGCTTGACTGATTCATTATATTTACAATTTTTACAACACTTGAATTGGAATCGTATCGCATTTTTAATTTTGTGTTGTGCTTTACGAGACGTCTTGTACGGTTCGTTGTTTTTTACTTTGTAAGCAGCATGGGGCCCAGTTGACAAGACATTTCTTTCCCAGGTGTTTTTTTCATTAGTAACCCGATTCCACTAATAATAAGTCCTGGATAGTGATTTGCTGAAGGATTTCACTTGAAGAATATTTTACAGTGAAATACGTTTTCATAAATATTGGCCCTGATTTTTCAATTGCAAAGCAATACAAGGATTTCGCCTTATTATTCCAGTGTTCTGAATACGTGAGCTGAAATACCTTGACTGAAATTTCTGTGACGGCAACAAAAGTGGCGTGACGAGAGAAAGAGAAAAAAATGAAGGAAAGGCAGGGAGGTTAACCAAAAATTAGAGCACCCGGTTTGCTACCCTGCACTAAGGGAACGGAAAGTGCGGAATAAAGATGGGAAAGAAAGCAAAAGAGTGAAATAGACGCGCGAAAAAAAAAAGCGAGCTGGGGTGCCATAGCCTATTCCATAGGCCTCCATCACGCTAAAAGTTAAATGAGGCCTTCACTAATATTCTCTGCAAGTACAGATTATGTCGACTTTCAAGCACTAACTGTGCTGACATGGGTCTGTCGTCAAGGCGAACTAACGAAGCAGCTAGCAGCCGTTTTTGTATTCTGTAACGAGAGCAGTGACGGAGAACGTGCTCTATCGTTTCATCGCTGCCGCAAGCAACGCAAGCAGCACTGCCTTCCATGCCGATCCAGAAGGTGGAAATTTTGGTGAAAGTGACACCACGCCACAGTCGGCAAAGCACTATTGTCTCAAGTCGAAAAAGTCCGGACGGAGGCCGAAGTCGACGAGACGTGCACAGCCTAAGCAGTCGCGTGTGCCGTAAGCACTCAGCGTTCCACAGAGATTTTAATTTTTCATTGGCAATTTTTCTGATTTTTATTACAGCTTCAGTCTTTGAAAATGGAATGGATTCTTCTTCACCATCTTCGTGTGCTAATCGAGCAGCTGCATCGGCATGTTCGTTGCCCAATATGCCGCAGTGGCTTGGAAGCCACTAAAACTGGATTTCGTGACCCTCGTCTATGAGGTGGTGAAGTAACTCTCTAACTTCCAGCACTAATTGTTCATGAGGCCCCCGGCGGAAGGGGCACACCAAACACTGTCCGTGACTAAAAGAAAATTCTGCTGGCTACCGATCAAAGTTATTAAATGCCCTTTACGTCAGCTAAGCTGCTTCTAAAGGCAAGCCGCGATCCTCCTTGATCCTAACAATGTGTAAATATTCATCGCACGTATGCCGTCTATTTACTGTTATCGTGACAGTAGGCTTTCATTTTTGTTTCACGCTCTGTGTCCTTTTCACTGGTATCAAGTGCCTAAGTTTATTGCAGAGTATTGCATGTAACCGGAATACAGTATAAACACTACAAGAGTCCTTCTGTTCTTGTAAATAAAATAATAAGACTTTTTGGCAGCCTTGGCTAAACAGGCTGTTCTGAGCCAAAAATTTACATATTCCACAAAACTAAGCTTTACCACAGTGTTACTCGCTTTAGTTGGTAACAATTCTTGCTTGGCCAGTGCGTACGAAAATTATTGAACAAAGAAGACTCTAAAGCATCACAGAAGACAGATGAGGTGCCTTTTTTTCATTCCATCTTCTTTTTCCTGCGGATCCCTTGGGTGATTGCGTTCTGAGGATGGTACTAGTAAAAAATAAATGTTAAAATAAAGTCATTGATATTTGGGCCAGTTGGTGGATAAAAGTCACGGATACAGACGCCTTGCCTGCCTTTACAACAATATTTGTGACTTCCCAATACACCTATATAAAAAGTCGAACACTTAAATCATATCTTCTGATTCACATACCAAAACAAACAGAGTATACGTTCAATGACGGCTTTGTTGAGATAATTCCTTGTAGTGGAATAAAAGCCTTACGGCAATGCCCAAAGCAGAAATGTAAAAATGTACACGTCAGGAAAATTACGAACGCTATAGTTTGATTGGCAAACACACTTTTCGGTGGTCGCGGCATCACTCCTTATGGTTCCTCTTCCCTTTGCAGGGTCGTGCTTGCCACACTTCTCTGGAAGAAGGAAATTAAGCGAACGAAGATCACAAAAATATAACCACTTCATGACATGCTCCTCATGTCGATCACTTTGTCAAGCAATGCTTCTGCTCTTGAAGAGGTTTGTGTGCAACTGTAGAGCCAAGAAAAGACTGTAAAAACTTTGTATACCTGGCACGTGTTCACAGACGTCTCTCCACTTCGCAGCTGGTCGGCTACCGTTTTCGGGATCATTTGGTAGAGCAGCTCGTCGGTTCGTTTCATTTCGACGTCTAACTTGCGCATGGACTCCTCTAATTGACGGCTTTTCTGGAGCTCCTGCGAGTAAAGCAAACAAATATTCAAGTCAAGTGTGGCCACGGCAAGCGAATTCCCCAGCACATTCTTTAGGGGCTAAAAAGCCAGTTGGCATTCTCGGCGTATAATTTCTGAAAAGTCAGTATTGCTGCCCGCGGTGGTATTGAATGCATGTTATGGTGTTTTAAATTTGACGTTGAAAGTTCGGTATTTTAAATAAACAAATGCAGTATATTTAACCGACTTGAAGTGAGGGACATTTTTTAATCTTTTTTTTTGTGGTAACATTCACTAAATAAAAGCGATAGGCTTCACTTCTTCGTATTGTGCCTTCGGGATACTTGTTTGTGTCCCGACAGGTGAAATCTGTGCGTCGAGGCAGTTTCGATAATTGCCAACAAATTTGTGGTAACTAAAATTAACTGCACTGCCAAATAAAACAGATGTTGTGGCCAACAATATTGCACTTATAGATAGGCATGAAAAAAATAAGCCGCCTTCTTCTATTACGCAAGCATAAGCTGAAAATGGTGATAAACTACGGCACATTATTGACAGAAAAGTGACGTGAAAAAAAAACAGTCTAGCGATATATCTTTATTGCTTTTATTTTTCTCAGACACCAACAGTTTTAGCAAAAATACTACGCAAGCGCGGCAGCAGCCAATGTACATGGAGCAAAATATATAAAACAAAATTAGAAAACGAAGAAGACTAGAAAAGAACAATACGGAAAAAAACATTCCGTCCAAGATGCGCCCCTATCCCCAATGAACCCACCAAGCTACTAATAAAACAGAATGACGTATAACGTACTGCACGCAATATTTTAGGATGCAATGTTATGTATTCATTTCAGACTTCATTTTTTGTAATTATAGTGAAGCTATTACCAATGGTTCAAAGTTTTATTGAGCCTTACAAGATTAGCATCGTATTGTAACAGGTTTTCTAACCGAAAATATACGCATATTACCAAGAAAAAAAAAACAAGAAAACATGCAACTGCGAAACTGGTTAGCCCAAGACATTTGGCTTATACAGTAGAGGTGAGGCAGGCTTGTATGATGAATAGCATTGTAAGTGCATATCTTCTGTAGTTCTTAGCAATTCTAGACGTCATTAATGACACATATCTTCGAAAAGAATGTTTACAGCCAATATACATACACATTTTTCTCTTATATCTGTTCACACTAATGCAGCAGAGCTTCACTTAAGTACACATTTTAACTACACATACAATGTGGATATCATCATAAGTATAATAAAATACTGTCCGCTTTTTATTTTTGCATCAACACTCCTTTACGCACCAGCACTTTTTGAGCATGGAATAGTTAGTGCTTGTTGAAACCTTCGTCATCGTGGAACCACACGTACTACTTACGAGAAGGAACCCGAAATACAATAAAAAGCTTTTGCGTCATTTGCGTTTTGGCTGATAATAGTAACGACGAGTAAATCGCTGCTGCATTCTTCGTGATCTGGTCATGGTTTGATTGCATAAGAAATCCAGGAATAATTCATTCCTAAAAAAATTATTAACCAGCATACCCAGAAATTTTTTGTTTATATTTGTTCAGGAGCTCGTTTATATGACCGACCACTTTGCACGGCCGCTCAGTATTCACGCTCTCGTGTCCCTCTTTACAACAATTCATTTTAAATGGTTTATTGTGCGCACTAACGAAGCATCTTCAGCTGTCATGCACGTGTTATAAAATTTTCATTGGTCATATATGCTATGAACACACAGCCATCGCGGCCTACCAAACTGAATTTGATCTCTGAAGTGGGTCTTGCACAGCAAGTGCATGTAAGGACAGCAACACATTTTGTCAAAACAAAAAGCAATTTTAGTTGCGTAAAAGGTATGACTGATTAAGGGTAAAAAATAAGACGTTGAATCGTTCAGATTAAATATATATATATATATATATATATATATATTCCGCTTACCTTACACCTTACAGCACTTTCGTCGGGCGACAAGAGAAGAGAATGCGATTGCAGCGTGTGACACATTTTTTTTTAATTCCGCTCGTCGAACAATTTTCGCCGTGGCGGATTGGTGAGGCAATGAGCTTCTTTAGTGAATTATTTTATGGCAACTTAAAAAAAAGTGTCGGAGGGCCTATTTCAGTTGGGTTTAGAGCTGCGCCACGCCCCGGACATTTTTTCGTAAATATTCCACAAAAATTACTATTAGTTCTTAAAATATTTAAGGCTCTAATCATCTGCTCTCTTAAATTACTTGTAGAACTAATATGCCGAATGTCTGTTGCGAAGCGCTGTTGTTTAGTGGCAGTATATGTCACTGAAGTTCACCCCCATCGTACACAAGGCGAAGTGTAGTAAGCACAAACCATCAGCCTATGCGAGGCCAAGAGTACTGTTCATTATTTCTTTCTCCTTCTCAAGAGCCCTCATTCCGCTTGACTTCTGTGTGCGACGCGTTTCTCTACTTCTCTTGCAGTGCTTGTTTTTTTTCTTTTACAGTGACAGCATTTATGAGACCACACCAACAGCCGATTTCGGCGCCGTAGTTTCCACTGCCGCCGCTGGTGTCCGCAGCCCATAGCACGCGTAATAAAAAACCTGATATAAGTAAGAAGTTCTGCCCAATAGCATGAGGCTCGAAACCGGGGCTCATGCGGGGCAACTCAGCTTTTTACTCCTGAAGTACACCGGTGTTCGAAGCTCCATTGCAAACTGATCCTATGCATGTTTCACATCGGGTAAGGAATCTTGTTAACAGGTGCAACGACGCGTTTTAAAGAAGTAAATTGGAAACCAAGTGTCACACAATGCAAATTGCATAATTAATGAGTCGACGAATGCTCAATTATATTACAAAGCCTCTGGCATAGTTCCTGGTCATCTTCAGCTACAGCGTCAACAAAATGCATGTAGTTCCTCACAGGATTGATGAATGAAGCTTTCCTACTACAGAAAAATTATGATGATTTATAGCCTACCTTTCAAGTGTGGGTATCATGCAAGTGTACTTCTAGTACTTGCCCCAAGAGTGTTAAAAGAGGCTCTAGAAAGGTTGTTTTGGGAGCTTTCGAAGTGAGTGTGTCGCGCGTACAATACGGGTGTGGTGGTTATTCAAACTCAGCAGTATAAGTTAGTTTACCTGCTTCCGCAGCATCCTAAACTTATTCTGTGATGAAAGGACTGGCTACGTGCCCTGAGTACTTCTGGTGTTACTGCGACTTTTCTACAACATTCTATCTAGGCGCAGATTCAAAGCAAATAAGTCGGCACCTACATATTGTCATGCACCCCTATATTTTTTGAATGAATGGGCTTCACCCACAAAAAATATTTAGCATCACAAGATGTACGCGATGCGCAAATTTTTCGGAAGCTCCGCTGTATTTCATATTGTTCGAGCTAAGAAAACACGAAGGGTGGTACTAGTCAATTTTAGTCGTAATTTTATGCAATGATAACTCTCGAATGTTTGATCACTCTGATTTATAAAAGAAAACAACTTCCGTGGATGATCAGGTCCCTCACGGCTGACGACTGTCATTACCGCTGTCATGTACAGCACGCATCGCTTGATGTTTTACTTTTAATTTCCAGGAGGAAAGAATGGGCAACAAATAGTTTACTAACTGACGTCTCGGCTGCTTCGTCATCGTCACGTGGCAAGTAAAGAAGCTCCACACACACATTTTCTGTCTCCTTTTACGGAACACACACAAAAAAGAAAATAAGCTGAAAGTCCCGGGCAGCAAGAATGTACACAGTATTTTCGCTCACCATTTTAAAGTTTCTTTTTCCACTCTGTAAAATTGACTTTTTTTGTCTGATGTGTTCAAGAGAGCCTGTCAGTCACTGGTTATTTCACGTGTTGTCAGTGTCTCTAATACATTCCTACACAATCCTGCTCTAGCCTTCGTGTACAATGGGGTAAATTGCACATAAAGCCGTGTATCAAACGAACTGTATTTATTCTCAATATCCGTAATTCTTGTTAAGTTTGAAAGAGCAGATGAAACTTATGCTGACCTGATCTAGAGCGAGCTTCAGTTCAGCGGATTGCTGCTGTCCCGCGAGCACCATGTCCCGGCTGAAGTCGTGCATGCTGAGGTCGTTGATGTAGAGTCCCGTAAGCACCATTGTATCCAGGTCACGCATGCTGCGTTGAATCATAATAAATAGCTGACTGATATCTTGCACGGACAAAATGAAACGATTTGTGGTGTCTCGGAGATACATCTCATCTATGATACAACATTGCACTTGCTTGTGTTTCCCGAATGCAGGGCACATCCATATCATCCCTAGGTCTGCTGTTAGGTGGTCCTGGGAACTAACACTTATTCCATTTTAGGTCCCAAAACCAGCAAGACATCGCGCCTACCTCGTATGTGTTCAGGGGTCAATTCAGAGAAAACTTTGACACGCCATGCAGTTGATCGAAGACATTTTCGTGATATTTGATTGTCTCATATAAGTTGGCTGTGCAACACAACAGACATTGTCATTTGTAGTCTACATTGCCTTGAGTAGAATTGTTCTTTTTCTGCCCCTCTACGACCGACGCTGCATAATAGATGTCAGGTAGAAAGCATACATTTTCATTTGCTTTGTTATCACAATTAGTACGACCCGATCGACATCAAGTTTACGTTTGCAAAAACTGCGTGTGCCCAGGATTGGCGCTCTCCTCTCAGGGCCGATATATATGTTCATATTGCTACTTAACTTCCACTGCTCAAGCTCTCTTTAACTCAATTAAAACACTATATTCACGTGTATTTCTTGTTCTAAGAGTATTTCTTTTTTAGGAATAAATTTTTCACTGTTATGTGTGCACTCTTTGGCGCCAACGTCATTATCAAGATCATTTTTAGGTTTTCCACGTCAACTCTCTAAATATAACAGATGAAATTCATTCGAACATAGTTTAGTTGCGTTTTTTTTATTTATGTCACTGACGAAATAATTCATTGTTCTTGTGAACAGTAATTTGTGGACCCAGATACCTCTACCGGGGGTTCAGCAGCTGCGACTGTAAAATGTTGCTGTTTCGGATTGGACAGCTACACCCTGCTTTTTTTAATGTTGTTTCAATCACAACCTATCGAAAAAACGTCGGGCTAACCTATCATACTGCGTCTTCAACATGTTAAATGAAAGTTGCGAAGAAAATTATACATGTTTTTTTTTGAAATAAAAATAAACGAAGGGGTTTTTGTCACCGTTACTTGGTGACAAAAGCCGTTACTTGGTGATAGCTACCCCTTTACACTTGAATGTTACAAATAAAGAAAAGAAGCAAAATACTATATATACATATATACAGTCTTGCATAAGTGAGAGCAAAAGTTCTGCTATAGTCAGAACAAACAAGTAGTCGCCACGCTTACTTTTAACTATAGCCCGCTCAGTAGTGGTGGTCTCAAATCTTCGTTTCTTCAAAGAAGAGTTGCAGCACCGTCATTGCTTTGCCATTTGTTTTAGACGGCCATGGGCGTAGTATTTTACTCAACGCAAATGGCCGCTCGGGATATAACTTCTTCGAGATATAAGTTCTTGTAACTAGTTCCTATAACTAACTCGGGATATAAGCTCCTGTTCGAGACGCCTTAGGTGTGTGTCGTGTTTAGGACAGTCGAGCAAGAGTTCATAGATGTCCTCGTGGTCATGGCCGCATGAGCATGCTGACGATGTTGAACGCTGAATACGAAGTATTAAGTGCTTTGTGTAAGCAGTTCCGAGTCGAAGGCGATGCATTAGTGTGTCGATACGCCTTGGGAGGTCACGGTCTAATTGGCATTCAGATTAGTATCAACAGCATATAGAATCAATTCCAATGTTTTGTCTGTGAACCAGGTAGCCAAGCATAATTTACGTTTCGTTGTTCCTAAAATTCTAATTAAATCAGATTGAGATATATGAATGAGGCACGTTTGCGTAGAATGATGATCGGTTTTCGCCAACTCATGTGCCATTTCATTTGCCTTGACTCCGCAGTGAATTTGAACCCACTGAAATGCCACTCGATGACTCGATTTTGTAGCTTCGAAAAGCTCTTTTAGTATAGCGTATACTAAATGTACATCAATGTGTCTTGAAGTGACATTTTCCACACAAGCGTGGGCCGCCAGAGAGTCTGTAATTACCACCCATTCTCTTGGTGCCATTGACCGTTTAATGCAGCTTACGGCTATCAAAATCACTTTGAGCTCCAACGTTGTTGAAGAGGAGAGGTGGCCTAACCTACATGCATATTATTCGCGCAATTACGGAATTTTAAATGATGATGTCACTGTCTCTTTGGCGACGGAGCCTTCAGTGTACATGTGAGTGTAGCCTTGGTACCTGTCAAACAGATGATTTGATGACAACTGCTGTGCGACAACGATTGGTACTTCATGTTTGCTGCGAAGTCCTTCTATTGGCGTTTCAATAGTTCAAGCAGCCATGGCCGGTAGTTTCGGTCCAGTGGCCAATGTGTCAACACAGGAAGCTGGGAAATGTACTGTTGGTACATATGGTTTATTTTCGCTCCAGTATGGTTCACGATGTGTTATATTAGCGGATGGAAAGGGTGCTACGTGACTACACGAAAGAGGTGCCGACAGGTCTCAACATTTTTGATTATTATTAAGTTGAGTTATTTTGTGTCTGCCAGTGTCAGAGAGCCTAATGTTGCCTGTAGAACCCCTAGACATATGCGTAAGCTTCGGGATCGTAACAGCTGAAGTCGTTGTAGAGACGTCTGAGAGATGTTGGGGAGAACTGGCGTGGAGTAGGCAATTTTCTGTCGGATTAGTGCACAATGAACGTGAAGTATAGACGCTGATGTACCGCCTCATTTTGTTTCCGCTATGCGGCGTATAACAATAATGCCGTAGTTCACTTGATTTTCTACATCAGCAATATGCTGAGTCCATCTGAGTCGGCTGTCTAATGTAACACCAATGAATAGATGCTTTTGTGCAATTGTGATTCTCTCGCCGTCCACAAAAAGTTTATCACTGTCTTTCTCGTGAACGGCAGAACTACCAATTTGGCGTGAGAAATCTGCGTGCTTTCCTCTTTGAGGTAGTCACTAATTGCGTTTAGTGTTTGCTGAAACTGATGTTTGATCACTTTCAGTAATTTTTAGAACGTTCATTTACATATGTCGTCTGCATACATGAATATGTTCAAGGCTTCCTGTAGTACTTCTAGAAAACCTGCCATTGCAGTAATGAAAAGAAGCGAACATAGTACGCTACATTGGGGTACACCTCTTCTCATGTTGAAGCGATCGCTGTCTGTGTTGTTGGTAGAAATGTATATTTGTCTGTTACGCAGGAAGTTGGCGATCCATAGAAGAATGCGACCATGAACGCCTTGCGAGGTAAGCACTTACAGCACAAAAAGGTTGCTTACATAGCCGAACGCCTTTGTTATAGCAATGAATGCCGCAACAGCCATGTTTCCACAGCTCGTCTCATGTTCTTCAAACGTAACGAGGTTGAAGACGCAATCCGTAGTGCATCAACGTCGTCTGAAACCTGCCATCTGTTCTGGAAGAGAGTTGTTAGCTTCAATCCACCACTGCAACTTTCTGTCGACGACCTTTTTCTATTACTTTAGATACACAGATAGTGAGGCTAACTGGTCGAAATGGGTCAAGCGAAAGCGGTGCTTTAGCATTGGGACGATTCTCGTGACCTTCTAACACACTGGAACGTACGCCCTCGTCCGCATGTCGTGATATATCCGTAGAAGAGCTGGCATGCCGTTGGGGCGTAGATTTTTCAGAACACTGTACAACAGGTTGTCGAGACCTGTTGCCATTCTTACGCGGGTTAGTGATAGAGCAGTACGCACCTCTAGTAGATAATACGTGTTATTCAGTTGAGCATGCGATAAAGCGTATTCGTCTTGGATTTCCTGCTCTACAGAATTCAGCAGTGCAGTAGTGGTGTCTACCGATTGCCCAGTTCCAGTCGGAATTGTGCAAAACTTATTAGCAACATCACGTTCGGATATTCAAGATATATGACGAATGCTTTTAATGGGTTTCACTGGGATACTGGATTATTTAGAGCAGTGATTGCCAGATTTTCGGAAGGGGAGTATATGGGGTCAATGAATTGCAGAAGTCACGCCATTTTTTCTGACCTAACTTTTGCATGTATCGGTTAGCTTGGACTTGTGTGGTCTGACTCTCCTTTTAATCTTATAGCCTCTCAGTGCGGTGATAGCAACGATTTGCTAGTCTTCTAATTGCTCTTGGGTCCTCATAGTCTGCATCTACACTAGAGTGGCCTGCTGGGACAGCTGTAAACGTTGTCGCTCAGGAGTAACTGCTTTTATTTCAGGACATAAATATATATAATTCATTAACTCTCACCAAGACACATCTAGTATGGTCACAAAATAGTCTCCAGTCAGTTAGCATTGAGGTTAATGTTGTCTTCTGCAGTTGCATTCTTTGGAGTTGCATGAGAACTGGGTAATGGTGACTCCCTCGTGTTTCGAGATCAGCACACCAGTTCATATCTCGTGCAATGTCAGGAGAGGCTATAGCCAAATCTAGACAGCTGACATAAATACAACATCTTAAAAACGTTACTGAGCCATCATTCAGTACAACAAGACCACATCTATCAATTGCTTTTAAGTGTTTTCCCACGGGAATCCGTTTGAGTACTGCCCCACGTAGTATTGTGCACATTAAGATCTCCACAGATGAAGGAAGGTCCATGGACTTTGCGCAATAAATGAACCAGGGATGATTTGTAGATGCCTGTCGATGGTTACAAATAAACACAAATTACGGTAATGGTAAGTTTCTGGAATTGAATATTCCACCCTACAAATTCTGGCACGTCTGAGTCCGACGAGTACAAAAGAAAAGAGGGTATGTCGTGCCGTACGCATAACAGTGTCCTGCTCAAGCCTGGATTTCTTCTATATGCATATGTAGCATATTAAGAAATTTTTAAGTCAGGGCAAACGTTGGTTTCATTTAGACATAAAACGGGGAAGCTATACTGAGCAACCAGCTTCCTAAAGTCAGCGCTTTTGGACTTAGGCCATTAGCATTCCACTGAAACACAGCTGGGTTGCGGAAACAGTTGTCCATTTGTAGAGCCTTTTTGCTATACAACAATTTTTGTTGTACAGCTATAAGTTCTAATGAAAGGACGGAAGGACGTTTTGGACAACCAGCATACGACGCTACGTGGTCTCCATTGCAATTGGCACATTTGGGAAGATTCCTCGATGCATCGTTTTCGCAATTATGTGCTCCGCCAAAGATTTTGGAGCGAAGTTGTTCATGACACGATTTGGCAACATGTTCATACCGTGGACACTTGTAACATTGTGTAGCAGGCTATAAGTACTCTTCCACCCGACAACTTGTGAATGCTAGGAGAACACGAGGTGGCAATGGCCTGTTGGGTGAGAACTCAAGAATGACACTGCCGAGTAAATGTCGTTCTGCTGAACCATCTTCACGACGGAGCCATTTAGTCTGTCTATTCACTGAGATTACAGCGCTGCCTCTTAAATATTCAAGCAGTTGAGCTTCATTGTATTGTATAGGTACCAGTCTATTCTTTCCTAGGTTCTTCACGTACGACTGTGGTATTACGGCGCCAATCCAAGACCAGCAACACATGCTAACTCGAGAAGTCTGGAGGAGGCAGTAACTGTAGTGACATTTACGGAGAAGTTGCCATCTCTGTTGACACGGAACGACTGAACTCTCTCTTAAGCAGCAGATACTAATTCACTCACCAGTTTGTTCGGATTGACTTTCCAGAATGAATCGCTAGGGTCCGTCAGCTAGAAAATTACTGGTATCTCCACTGGTCGGCCTTTGGTGTACGTGACCGTTGTGAAAAGGCTGGGTTAAGCTCCGTTATCACAGTTCATTGCAATGGAATTGACGATCAATGCATTACTGCAAACTTCTTGATCATCATTTCGCGCCTTTTTCGGAGTGACACACTCATCATTGGCGTTCGATGTCGTCGAGGGGCCATCACAGTACACGTCAGGTCCGCGAAACACGGGATTCTCTTGCTGTTCGCATGCATTTATCACATCGTCCTCATCCGATGGGCACTGGGAAGAATGGCCGCCACCCGTAGCCGAAGCTTTCGGATGTCGTGACAGCTTACGATAGGCTTTCGGTGCCTTGGAGACGTGGCGCCTGGTGCCCCGTGAAGGTAATGACCGAATCTTGGCAGCAAGACACTGAATACGAGTAAGAAAACTCACAAAGTTGGCGAAAAACCGCAGCGCGGGGAAGCTCACGTCCAGTCATTTTCCAAATGACGGAAAATGCTTTACACAATTTTTATAGTTTATGGGGTGGTACAAAGTGCTATATGACTGTTCCACCATAATTTAACGCCGAAAGTAATGAAGTAATGTTAATCTGGTACTACATGATGCTATTGAGAAAGTGCATAGGGGACTTCGCTTCGTACTGAGTTTTCCTCTAGTGTACAATCGAAGCTCAAAGTCCAAGTTTTATCTCAAACCATGAATTTTATTGCTACTCACACTGGCGTTGCTAAGTACACCATGCTTTTCCACTCGTCCATGTACATCATCTGTCCTTTTAGGTGCAACAGTGCGTCCTCGTAATCTGCAAAAAATTCAAAATGTAATGCTACAACTTGCGTGGGAGATGGCGAAGCAGACCTCACTGCCACATTGCGCAACGCCATGAGTGCAGTGTCCATTCATTCATATAAAAGTAGGCCATTTTATGGGCAGTACCTCGCGCATTCAGGCAAAAGAAACTATATCAAGCACACTGATTTTCCTTGGTGCACTGAATTAGTTTTGCTCATTAGAAATAAAGAGAGAGGAAATAAAAACAATTATTATAATACAGAAAGGCATTGCAAGCAAGACCAGACCGTTGGACGATGCTTTAAGCTGTCACTTGAAGTACTATACCGGCGAATTTTGTAGCGTTTGGTCATGTATGAAATTACCAAGATTTATTTCTAAACTCGTCCATCTCGGTAGTATAATCGCTACGAAGCTCATTCGCTTACTTGAAAGGGGGAGGGTGGGGTTAGATCGTGGCTGTGGCGATCTACGATATAACTACGATATCAGTGTAAGCGACGCCGCAGCAGAGGGCTATGGAAGTTTCAGTCATCTAGTATATATATATATATATATATATATATATATATATATATATATATATATATATATATATATATATATATATATATATATATATATATATATATATATATATATATATATATATATGCGTGTGTGTGTGTGTGTGTGAAAGTCGAAAGTCACAGTGAAAAACATAAAAACATAAACTATTTTCTGAGCTTTCGGCCTGGGACCGGCCTTCATCAAGGATGTGATTCGTACATGCAGTATGATTGTAAACTCGAACTCAATGTACGAATAACATCTTTGATAAAGTGTATGCTTAAGGGCTCGTTGTTCGTCTTTAGACACAATCGCGTTATCCGAAGGTCGCAGGTTGGGATCCAGCCCACTGCAAGTCATCTTTTCACCCACTTTTATTTCTTCACATTTACGTTACAACTGGCCTAGCAACTTCCCCTGTACTTTCCTTGGCAATTTTGTTTGTTAAATCTTATATATATATATATATATAAATATATATATATATATTATAAATATATATATAATAATATAAATATATATATATATATATATATATATATATATATATATATATATATATATATATATATATATATATATACACAGTCAAGTGCTTAGTCAAGTGCTTCCCTGTTTGTTATATTACAAGGAAAATATTCCTAATGGAAGGAACATAGCAGTCAGCTTTACGGAAGCAGCAGTAAGATTATTGTTTCAAAAAAAGGAGGGCGTAGTTTATGAGAAAGTGTGTGATGAGAAATGCAACGCAAATGACAAGAAACTACGTCCTACTTTTTTGGCTTCTTCTTGTCCTCCACACCATGGAGTATGCTCCGCACAAAATAAAGTAGTTTATGCAAATATAAATCAACTTTAGCAAACGAAGACAAACGTTTGCAGTGCTTTGACAAAACCTATTGCACGATCAAGTAGTCCAACCACCACTAGTGAGGTTTTGGTGGTTTGACATGCCGCGTTATAAATCAGTTTTGTATCGTAACGATACTTAGTTAACCGTTGACAAGCCTCGTAGAGTGCCCGTACCTTTTATGGGGACGGCTTTCTGCTTTCTCAGAGTAGAGTATGAAGTATTCTAAATCGTTAAACACTTTTACAAAACACATCTCGCACTCTAGACAATATGGCTCATTGTGTGGAATTGCCTCGATGAGCAGCTAGAAACACGCAGCGAAGAGACTTTCCTTCGACAATGAAACACACATTTCCTCAGAGTAAGGGAGGGACAGCTGAAGTTTCAACTTGTTTCGTACTAGGCATGCGCCTACACTGTACGCATGAATACGTGGTACCCTCAGGAATCGGCGTTACTTGATCCATTTTAAGTTGCCTTTAACTTACAACATACGCATACACAGTGATAAATTGGATTCCAGGGCTCATTTATAAGATGTATACACTGTCTTTACTTGTTTAATGTGTTTTGTTTGTGTATGCGCAAGATGAGTGTACATTAAAACTTCCCTTTCTCACTGAAGGTATAATGCAGCTGCAGGCATTCGGCCAAAATTACGTGAGCAGACAAAAAGCCTAATCGTCAACGTGCTTATTCTTGCTGCAATTTCCTTGGGAAAACAAAGTTGAACCGTTGTTGTGAAATAATCGGTTTAAAATTGTGCCCGTGTATGCTTGACGGAAAGCAGTAATGATGGGAACCTGGACAGCAGGAAAAGGATGGTGAGGAATAACGAAACAATGAAGACACGTGGCAGTGTTTAGTGTCATGGCTAAGAAGAACCTTTGTTCTTCTCTTCTTTAGATTAATCATTTTTTTAGCTTGTAGATAGCATTCAGGGTTATGGCTGCAGCACACAAAAAAATAACTCACTGAAGTCTCCGTTCTCGCTGAAGTCACATTGCGACAGATTGTCTTGGCTGCTGTTCAGGTTGCACCGGGCTCGCACCGCCTCCAGCGAAGTCAGCTCGAATACGTTGTTCGTGTGGCCCATGATCTGCGAATGGTTGATATTGTGGCCGACGTACTAAAGGAAACTGTACGTGTCGTAGGCATAGTGATTACTGCTCACAACCTTTATGCAAACGAGTGTTTGAGCTGGTATTCACCTCCTACGGCATTCTCTCTCACTGTAAGCCACCATATAAGCCATTGATTGGCCTGCAAGTGAGACCAAGGCTACATGAGCTTATGGTCCTTCGGAGAAGTAGCGATACTACTGCACGTGAGCTGTTTGAGGTGTACATTTACATAAAGAACCAGAAACGGCATCAGCCGTACGTCAGTCTGCTGATTTGCTAGTGAGATGCATATCGAACGAAATAGTACATTTCGTAGATATAGCGATTACCACTGACAACTATTACGCAAACACGTGTTTGAGCAGGTATTCATTTCCTGTTGCACCTCATTGTCAATGAATGCCTCTATAACCCATTGAATGATCTGGAAGTGCGCGTGGTAATATGAGCTTGTTTCCGGGTAACAGTAAAAACACTACTATACGTGAACTGTTTGTAACCTACAATTACCATAAAAGCCCCAGGCTACTTGTTTCGTGAAATATGCTGTGCGAAAAAACGGCAAGAGCAAGAAACAAGGAGAAACAACCGTAAAACGTAAATCTGTCAGGCTCAGACTAACATAGTCTATAAAGTGGCTGCTTCATATACGCAGTCTTAAAGTATAAATTGCTGTTGTCTTTTTATACTGTATCTTCGTCGGTGACATTTTCTGCTTTCTCCACATCTCCAAGGTATACATGTTAGGCTAAAGCAGTTGAAACGTGATCTCAGTGTGTGCGTAGGGGCCTACTTTTCTCTTAGTGCGCACGATCTTTGGACGCCGGAAGTAAGATATTATCACTGAAAAAGTTATCTTTATGATTTACATTATGAAACGCTTTTGAAATCTTCCGCTCCTATCTTGTCTGTCTTTGTCTTTCCTAAAACGACTGTTCGATCTAACAACGACTTATTATTATTATATTTGATTTGCATACACAGATACACAAGGACACAGAGGAAAGAGGGAGAGAGCAAGCTGGCAACTGCCACCAGGAGGGGCACAACGCCTGCTCACTCTTTCAGGGGGATTTGGGGGGAGGGAAGAAACAGAGGAAACAAAAATTAGAGGGGAGGAGAGGAAAGAAGATGAGGAAGAGAAAAAAAATGACAAAGTTTTGACAAGTATGAGTGAAAAAAATATCTAAAAATATTTAAAAAGGGAAAAAAACCGTCTATAAACGGGTGGCCAGGTTCGTTTGGTTCATAAATGTAAGGAGAGCTTGGTGGGCCTGGTCGCGTAGAGAAGCACTACCACTCGGAAAGAGGTAGTTGTGCAGGGTCGCGCACTTGAGTTCTATTAATTTATATTCCTTATTCAGCAAAGACTGCTGCGTAGCAAATGTGGTACAGTGCACTACGAGATGCTCAAGTGTTCCGCAGGAGCCACAAGCTGCGCACAACAGGCTGTCCACACACCCTTGACGGTGTAATCGTTCACGCACCAGCACTGAGCCCACTCTTAGTTTGTACAACAGCCCTCGAAAACTACGAGGCAAGCCATGGCCACGAACACGGGCAGAGAACGATCCATTCGCCACACGCTGCTCTGGGTGCAGCTCTAGGAGGTGTATGCACAATTTGGGTTTAATGCAAATGTGGCAATGCACAGCAGAATAGCTTTACTGCTCCCCACTTAAACACGTAAAAATATTTTTGTAAGCACTCAAGTACACGAGACGTACCAAAGCTGTATACACGTATACACCGGTGGCTCATTTTTAGAGAACAGTTAAACGGCATATTTTGTTATATAAGTAAACGCCCCAACAAGCTAATTTAAGACCTACCACCTTATGACATCAACAGGAGCGGAGCTCACAGCTCTTTGTGTCGCATTTAAATTCATTAGTGATCAACAGCTACAAAAAAATGGACTATTTTCGGTGACTCTAGGTGGCACCGCAATCCCTTCTATCACCTTTACGCCGCGGCCCGTATGAACAACTGGCGTCCGAGATTGCAGAAAAGACTCATAATATCATTGAGAAAGGACTTCAAATAGCAATTCAATGACTTCCAAGTCATTGTAGAATAAATTTCAATAAATGGGGCAATCGAGCTCTCCGTTTTTCTCATAGTGAAAGCGATCAAGTATCCATTTCGCTCTCCAGATCTGACGCTGCATGAAAACTCTGCATGCTTTCTCGCAAGCGCACCACGTCGCATTAGACCTAGTCACATTTCACCCATACACGATTATGTACCTTAGACCCAACCGTCAGTCTCCCAATTCCTCCCTAACTTTGCCGACGAGACGGTACAAGGCTGTGTTGATTATGGTTGGGCGTCGTATTTACCATTGCGTACGCGTTCCGCATAGGAATGGCCGACATTGCTGCATGTGACCATGGTGGCAGGGGAAAAAACTTGGCATATTCTGTGCGCATGCCCACAATACTGCTCGCAGAGACAGTCACTCTGCAATGCACTAGATGAACTGGACAATCAGGCTCTTTTGGAAGAAAAAATCGTGCGTTACCGACAGGACTTTATGTCGCAGAGGAAGGCTGTGAAGGCGCTCCAGCGCTTTTTGCGTTCAACCGGCCTCTCCAAACGACTGTGATAGGAACGCCCTGCAAGTGTGCGAATGTGTTTTTTTTCTAGTTTATTTTATATCTCCCTGTCTCTATCCTCTTTTCAACAATCATATCTCTACCCCTCTACAAGGTAGCAAACCAGTTCTGCAAGCTTAATCTCCCTGTATCTTCCTTTTATTTATTTCTCTCTTTCACACGTGCTAGTAGAACGCAATAAATAACACGAGTCTTGCCCACAATAAATCCTTTCACGTGCTTGTTTGATAGCCCTCTGTTTTTTTTCTCCTAGCTGCCTACTGTCATGCTCAAATCTGCTAATCTGCATGGTGCCGAAAGCACTATACAGTGACATCTCACTTTTCAGCTACTCTTTTATGTGTAAGAAACCCTATAAATTTACAGCATTGCTTCCTATTCCTTCATACTGTGTGATGTATCCCGCATTTTTTGATATTAATTTGCACGAAAGCACTTTTATACGTCCAGCGTTCGTCCTTGTGTATCGCCTTACTTTTGAGTTCTTATTCTGTGTATGAACTGGTACTCGCGTTTGTGAGCTCATGATGCGCCGACTGCCGCAATATCTAGAGACGCCTAACTGCTGTGATTTGTCGCAGATTCATGCTCGAAGTCAACTGGATGAATAGGTGGGTTGCCTTCGATGGTTGCAGCTAAGCATTTAGGGTTTGCTAGGTAAAACCACTGCATAAGTAAATAGCAGAACAACAACGAAATAAAGTTGGCTGTTTTTAGGGGCGAATCTCCTTAAAGTGGCACCCGTTCGTTCCTCGTCGTAGTGCGTAACCAATCTTATGTTTTGACCTACAAGGTGGTGCCGGTGGGAGATTTCTCCTGTGCTTTGTTGAACAATAAAAAATTCGCAGCGTGCGCGTTAACTAAAAGCGAAGTTCTCCTGTCTCTCATTCCCCACTAGCAGCCATTGATATGTACAATGAGCCCTATTTGACAAAAAAGGGTTTTTACGTTATACTTGCTGGGCGTAACTTCCTTGGTTTTAGAAAGGTTTAGCGAGCGTTAGGCCGCAGTGCCATGAGTACAGTGAACTAGTGTATACCACGAACTCGAGGTGGTTAAAAGTTGGAAGTAGATACGAAGCGCAAGACGTAAGAAAGTGGGCGTGTGGCACCTCTCGTTTATCTCTTGGAATGTCCACTGGATGGCGGTGCTTCTATATGCGGAATGTATTCGTACGGGGATTACAAACGCACAGAAAAGAGAAACGAGTGTATTTGCAATATTTACAGTTAGGTGTGACACCCCAGGGCCAATATCATCTCGCGCTTCGAGTCCGCTTCTTCTTCGTCGATTCGTGTACGACGGCAGAGCCATGCCCACTGCCTGGTAACAATATTATGAAAAGATGCGAGATGGTGGCACTTGGAGTGTTGAGTAGACGGACGAAGGACACACAGACAGATCCATGGACGGACACACGGATCACTGCACGGATGGATGGACGCTTGGACGAACGCAGGGGCGGATACGTGGACGAACGCAGGGACAGACGCACGGATGGACGTGCGGACGCATGAACAGACGCACTCATGGACGGGTGGATGGACACATGAATGGTCACACAGATTGACGTATGGACGGATGGAAGCAAGAACGAATGAATAGATGGATGCTTCACCCCACTCTCCATCATTCACCCCGTGGATATGCAGCATTGTTTTTCAGCATAGAAGCACCATTTTATGAGGCCCTTGTTAAACTCTTAACGCTTTGAGGCGTTCCCCGTGGAGGTTGTTTCACGAAGGTTAATGCAAACTATTAGTTAGAAGTCTCCATGAAAATGCAACACTGCATGCTGAAATAGAACCTGGCAATACGACGAAGAATCAAAAGCATTTTAGCGGGCGAGCGGTAAAGCGCTTGTTGCGCAGAAATTCCGGAGTCGGTGTTGGTGTCGGTGTCTGCGTCGGCATCGTTGGTTGTGAGCAAAAAATCGTCATTCTGTGCGTGACCGAAAAATCAAGAAAGATACGAATAAAATAAACATACTCGCTCTGTGTGCGGATTGAACCCAGGTATCTTGCGTGAGTGGGCATGCTACCCCACATCTACGCATCTACTTGCAAATGCAGTAAAACTAACATACTGTGCTTAGAAATGCATTGAAAGTAACTCTAGTGCTTCAAAAACAAACGCGTGCTTTACACATGCTTCACAATGCAACATGAAATATTGCAGTAATAATGCGTGGCACAAGCGTATACATTGCCATCGGCGGCGAAACAGCAAGTGATTATCATAATGACTTTCCTGCTTAAAGCCGGTCACCCGCTACAAAAGGCACACACGTTACTGCGCATATTTCTCGAAGGCCACGTAAGAGGTGCATAACAAGTTCAAAAAGATTTATTTCACTA